GGCACAGACCTGGCGGTTGTCAGGAGCGTCCGCAGGTGAACTTGTTTAAGTGACCCCTTAAGGCCTGAGCATTTTATTGTGGGCGACTTTTATTGTGAAGGGAAGAATCGAACGGTTGGCCTCCCCGGAGCACAGCACACCGTCAGGAGGAGGCGGAGCTGCAGCCGAGCACATTCTCCTCCTGAACGACACCCCCGCCCGCGGCCTGCGAGAGGTCTCCGCTCCTGCTTGGCTCACTGGCACCATCGGCAGGACCCCCTGGCATGTTGGACTCATGACATCCACGCTGTGGCGACAGACCGCAGTGATGGGCACCGAGGCAGCCCTGTTCTGCTGCAGGTGCCGGTGCTGATTCTGAGGCGCTCGGGAGACGCTGCTTCCAGGACTGACACAGCACTGGGGGGCGCACCTCCTGCCGCGCAGAGGACTGGCCGCCCAGCAAACTCGGAGCTGGAGAGGGCCCAGGGGCACCCTCCTGGGCAGGGTGCATCTGGCCAGCGAGGCCTCAGAACCGTGAGGCTGCGGGGTGAGGAGCCCGGTAAGACGCCGACGCGGTCGACGCACAAGTGATGGCGACACGTGTGACAACCCCGCCACGCGAGTGCCACCTCTGACTTGCTTACCAGCGCCCCTCCCCACCCCCGACGGCAGCCGTGGAGAAAGCCTCGCTCAGGGCGCACCAGCCGGCGTGCTGGCTGCACACCGTGTGACGCCCGCCCCAGGCGTGGCCGGACCTGGGGAGAACCCAGCGGTCGTCTCCGGTTCTGGAGGTGAGCAGAGCGCACCGACAGTCCGGCACCTCCCAAGCCGACAGCGAAGCCTGGGCCCAGGTGCAAACCGCCCATACATCCAAGCCTTCAGGATAAGTAATGAGTTCCTACGTTCAGAAAGGGAGGGAAAGCTGTGTTTTGTTCGGAATAGTGAGAAAGAATCCCAAGAACAGGAGACTCCAAGAACACACCAGCGGTGGAGGCACGCCTTGCCAGGAATTCTCACAAGTCCCCACCGAGAGGGGGAAGCCAGTGCCTGCTGTGAAGGGAGTGACGGTCCCCCTAAGTTACGGCGGAAGGGCGGGACTCCCTCAGGGAAAGGACTGATGAACTCGCCTGGCTCCCCAGCCCCAGACTCAGTCCCCAGAGTGCAGGGGTCTGGGGACTGACCTGCTGCTGCGTCCTCTGGGCCGGAACCCTGGAGACCCACCCTCCTGCAGAGCTGGCTCCGTGGTCCCGGTCGGCGGGTCTGGGGTGGCATCCAGAGATGCTGGTAAGTCCCCGAGGCTCTAGGTGGGCTGGAGTCTGTGACCGGTGGGACCCGAAGGGGGCAGGCACCGAGATTCTGACGGGGAGCCCAGGGCAGCCAGGGCGCCTCACCTGGACTGCACCCACCTGGACCCCAACCGAGTAGCCCCAGTAGGTGGGATCCTGGCCTTGGTCCCTGTTCCTGGCTGGCCAACCTCTGCCCTATAGGGAGGCCTCCGCCCGGGTCCTCGGAGCCGTTGCTCAGCCGGAGCGGCTGCCGCACGGAGCGCCAGGCGGGTTGGGGCTCAGGAAGCGGCGGGCAGGGCCGGGAGCCGCCTCAGCGAGCCTCTACTAGTGCTGGCAGCTTCTCGGGTGCGGCCTGCTGGCCAGCTGGCTCCCTCCTGGCTGGATGGAGAAAGGGGCCTGGGAGGAGGTTCTAGGCTGACTCCCAGGTGGCAGCACCGGGCGGGGACCTATGGCTCCCGTGCGCACACCTGCTGGGCCGTAATTCAGCAGCCTCGCACACGGGCGGGGGCTGACCTCCCCCAAAGGGGCCCTCAGCGGGTACCCCCTTGTGAGGAGCACACAGCCGATCTGCTCTCGGGCTGGGGAGCAATAGATACACCTGTGCAGGCAGGGCGGGGGGAGGCTGTGGGGCAGGCCCCATGTGTGTTTCAGGGGCCACCCGCAGCCCACCCTCCCGCACACGCTCCGTGCCGTGTGGGGCTCACACTGGGCAGTCGGCAAGAGGAGCTTCCTCCTTCAGCCCAGGCCAGAGCCTTGACTCACTGAAATGTGAAGAATTCGAGGAAAGAACACCAAGTTTTAGCAGCCACTTCTCAGCCTAGCACTGCTTCTCTGGGGCAGCCTTGACGACCTCAGGGAGGGCAGAGAGGAGCTGGGGCAGGAGGCACAGACCCCGGCCGGCTTGCTGGACTTGACCAAGGCTAGTGTTGGGCGCACACACAGCTTACAGATTGGAGGCTGATATCCAATGCCAAACAATGTAGAAAGATGATTTCACAGGTTAAATTCCAGGGATTAAAAAGTATTATTAGTAAAGCAGAAAATGCACTATTAAGCAACATTTAGAAAAACAGAAAATAAGGTGGATGTAAGAGTTGGAGGTAAAAACTTACCAGAACATAAGCAAAAAGATAAAAAAAAAAACTGATGATAATGGATTAATTCTACAGGTCTACCACCTGACGAGTAGGAGGGCCATTTAAGGAGAAAACAGCAAAGGCAGGGGAATGAGCACTCAGCCCCGGGAAGCGCCCCCGAACCGAGAGGAACAGAGAACCCATCAGGGTAAAGCTTCGGACCGCGGCCACCTTGGGGGATGAAGCTTCCAGAGCACGCAGACTTTCAACCTGGGTGGGCCACGTGGTGAACAGGGCAGGTCTCCCCCCGCAGCAAGGAGAACAGGAAGACACAGCACAGCGAAACTCGCTGCTCAGGAAGAGGAAGGCCCGATGGCAAGCCAACAGGGACGCGGAACAGCCGACCCTCTTCTGTTCGCCCGACACAGTCCCCTCCCTGGCGCGCTGGGAGGCCAGCGAGGAAGAGGCCTGGAGCGCCCGCTGGCGGCCCGCAGGGGTTACAGAGCACTAGCCCTGCCTGCGGGTCTCCAGGTGGAAGGGGCGCAGCACCGGTGGCCTCGGGCTCCAGCACGGAGCGCACACGTGAGCTCCGGACACGGACACGTGCGGCTGACCGAGTCGCAGTGAGAAAGCAGAAATCGAGGGCAGGGGAAGGCAGGGTGGCTGTCTCACCCCCTCCCTACGCACACCTCCAACTGTGTCACTTAGAGTGACCGGTCTGTCTCCAGGGCCTGGCCCTTCTCTCCCTACAGTGACCATGTGAGGCAACGGGTGATGGCCGAGTTCCCGCAGTGCGCACTCCAGACTCATGTGCGGCCCACTTCCACTGCAGACGTGTGTCAGCACGTGTCAGAGAAGCTGCACACGTGAAGTTTCCGACCGGCGAGAGTGACCGAGGCAGGTACTTACATACCGTGCAGACAGTCGGTGGAAGTCTCTGGTCCCGGAAACAGACACACCGAGTCCACCAGACCACCAGAACCGGTGAAGGCAAGGGGTGCGGGGCGTGAGAGGCGCGACCAAGGGAGGGCGGGGCTGCCGCCCGGTCCACACCCTTCCACGGCGCTGTCTCCCAGCCGTTCGCGTGTCCGCTGCTTTGATATTTCTAACGAAGCCGCTCAGATCCACACGGAGGAATGAGACAATGAGACACAGGGACACTCACTCACCACTGGGCTGTAATGACGGTGGGCCAGGCGTCTCTCCTTCCCGATCTCCCTCTGACCAGCCACGCCACCCTGGTCACTGCAAACAGGCCTCCCGGGCAGTGGGGCTGCGGCCAGAGAGCTCTGAGGAGGCGACCACGGCGCCAGAGGTGGCTGGTAACCCATCTCCACGTAACGGACAAACCGAGAGACGGTAAGAGGTACCACAGTCACGGCGCAAACACCTCCCCCCACGCAGCCCTTTCCAGCACTGAGGTTACGAGGTGCGGGTTGAACACCCGCCGTGTTCCATCAGCCGAACTCCCCCTTCCGGCCGGCCGTCCTCCGTGCACTTGCCCATCGGTCGGTGCTGCTGCGCACCCGCACGCGGAGCAGCACGTGGACGCCCACGCTGGGCGCGGGCTCCTGGGCGGCGCCTGCCGTTCACGCTTTGTTCCATCAGTAAACAACCCTCGTGTGACGGTAACAAATCTGTTGTTGCCTTCATGTTTCTATCCTTTCGAGTTTACCAGCAGCTGCCGCTCCCAGTTCACGGGTTAAATATTCAACCATATTTTTTTGTAGTTTTTTTTTTATTATCGTTAACACGGGGTTGCTTTTGACTGTGCTGTGAGGCAGGCGTCTAACTGGTTACCCCCGACAGCGTCTCCTGCACACCCCCCTTCCCACGTGTGCCCCCCTCCCTCGCTAACCAGTCCCTGTGACGATGTATGTTGAGGACTCATCGCTATGGTTTCAAGTAAACAATGACATAGACTCAAAACTGTTGTTTTTGTGCAAATCTTGAGGATTTGCACCTGGCTCTTGTTATATCCGAAGGTTCTGGTTCGTTCACGAACGACTTGGACTCCTCACGTGCCAGACGCGGTGAGTGCAAGACATGACGGTGAGTGAAGAGCGGCCGCCTCCGTGCGTCTCAGACGTCAGAGAGGTGAAGGGCGGGGAGAGCCAGCAGCGCTGTTTTGTCCATACGGTCTGAGTCCAGAGAATGACTTTCATCGCCACATCTGTGCAGCGATGTGTGTTACTCGTTAGTGTTTAACTTACGTACGACTGGTGAGCATACTGGTTTCAAAATGTCAGGGTGGACCAGCTGAACACCAGACGTGGAACAGTCAGTGGGAAGCGCTGCGGCGGAGCTCGCGGGTGGGGGGTCCCACCCTCCAGGTTCGAAGGGAGCAGCGCTGAGTAAACACAAACCCACGTCGCCCACCGAGTTCGGAGCCCCCGCTGCGAGCAGTAGCCACAGCCACGGCACGTCCGAGGGTCTGAAACCGTGTCACCCGGGCGGCGAGTCTCCTGCCTCAGGAGATCCCTGCGCTCACGTGTTGGTGATCCGCCGTCATCTCTGAACCTCCTTTCGAATAAAAACGAGACCACCCAGCAGTGCACCACACCCCGCCACTGGCTGGAGGGCCCACACACACTGCACAGAGAGCACGTGGCCGCAACCACACCCGGAACCCCAAGAACGCAGCGGACACGAGACGCTTCGAAGGTTTTAATCAGCCAGTCAACACCGTTTGCACGGGGATCGCAAGGCTGTAACTGTCAGCACTTCACACAGCTGGTCAGTGGGGGTTTGCACGGGTGGGAGTGAGAACAGAGGCAGGAGACGCGCGGCCCGGCTGCATGCTGGCCGCCGTTGAAAACTCAGGGTCAAAGCCGCCTCTTCCGCCCTCGAAGCTGCAGCGCGGGGCGGCGTCAGCATCAGTCCCAGGACTCCTCCTCCGCGGGGGCGGGGGCCTGGGGGGGCGAGAACCCCGCCGCGCTCAGGGCGCCCCTGCCCTGGTAACTCTGCGGGAGAGGACAGAGAGGCCTTCGGTCTGGGCCTGCCGGCAGCACAGTCGCCCGCTGGGGCGGCTCGCCCCGCCCACACGTGCTCAGCCAGCCCCGCCTGCCTGAAAGAGGGCCCAGAGCCGCCGCAGACTCTGAATTGCACAAAATATGTCCAAAAAACCCCGCTGTAGGCCAACGGAGATATGTAAATGGCAAATGGAGCCACGTAAAGCCCTGCGTGCCCACGAATGTGCACACAGGTGACTCGTTTGCTTGTGGTCTCTGCTCCCCACACTGACAGCACGGAAGACGCTCCGCTCCTCTCCCTAGTTCTCGGCCCTGGGCCGAGGTCGGAAGGCCAAAATGGAGAAGTCCTACCCAAAGTGCGGGAGACCCAAATAGGGTTTGAAGTGGCAGCGTGTTTGGGAAGACGACATCTCGGCATCACCCTTGATGTTAACGCCTCACCTTTGAGACCAAAAATACCTACGCAGAGTCAGGTCCCCTCCTAGAAGTGAAAGAACGGCTCGGACTAACACTGAGGGTCCAGTCCCCCCGCAATTTCAGACACACTTCCGAAGAGCAACCAGCAGCCGAGTTCCAAGCTGCCCACTCCACTGACCTTTCTGGTGTCCACGGACGTGAACACGCTTCCTCGGGGGCTCCCACTGAAGCCAGGCAGGCAGGTGCTGTAGGCGATCTCCTCCAGCCACGCGGGGACGTCCTGCTGAGCCTGCGAGACAAAGTGACCTCGGGTACTGCCCGCGCCGGGAAGGCCTCCCGGCCAGAACACCCTTATGTACGGAACCTCCACCTCCCAGGAGAGGCGCCCTCCCCCTTCGCTGGCCACGCCCACACTTACGTCGGACAGCACTTTCACCAGCGGCTGTGCCAGGAGCCGGTCCGCCTCCGGATCGAAGAAGGAGAGCGCCCTGCCGGTGTTGCCGCAGCGGCCGGTGCGCCCAATGCGGTGCACGTACTCGTCGATGGCTGATGGCAGGTCGAAGTTGATGACGTGTTGGACGTTCTCGATGTCCAGTCCCCGGGCAGCCACTGAGGTGGCCACCAGAACCGGGCACTTCCCGCAGCGGAAGTCTCCGAGGGCCTGCTCGCGCTCTCTCTGCTCACGGTCCCTGCGAGACAGGACACTCGGGTCTCAGGGCGGCTCCTGAGAAAGCTGCAAGGAGAACCAGCCTCCCCAGTTCGCCACGCACGCCGACAGCGCTGGCAAAGACGGCCCCGTTTAACACCAGCCTCCACCCCGAGGACCGTGTGTGACGTCAGTTCCCTCCAAGCCCTGGTTTTAGGTGGTTCTCGGACACGCTGAGGCTGGAACCGGTGTCTGCGTTTGCACCTGAGGTGGCTGGCAGCTGACACATGCAGCCAACGTGTGAACTCGAGTGTGACAAGGCCCCAGCTCACCTGGCAGTGACCCATCTGGTACTGAGAGACACACTACTGGATTAGAAGGCTTTCTTAAAAATTCAGGTTTCTCTGAAAAGTATAATCTCCAAATTCTACACATTCACTGGTGAGTATGTTACAGCTACTTAGTAAAGTACCCATAAAGCTGGGTTAATTGGATGTTTTTAAGCACTCTAATAACATAATGCCAGTCATCACAAAGATCAGATTCGGCAAAAGGAAAACTCGGGGCCAAGGACCAGAGAACCGTCGGTGAGCTCGGCCCAGACGCTGGCCCTCCCCACGAGGAGGAGTTCCCGGCAGACCTTCAACTTGCCCGCCCTTGAACACACTGATGAAGAGTAACAGTGCAGACTCTGAGAGTTCTGAATTCTCATTCTAGGACCGTGTCGTACTGGTTACACACCCTCGTGTTTCTGAACAAATGACAAGCAGAGGTTACCTCTCCACTAGAAAGTGGCAGGACTCTACTCACCCGTGAATACTTGTTGTGGGTATTTTTTCTTGACAAAGAAAAGTGGCGATAAAATCTGCCTTTTTCTTAGTTTCGACAAAGACCATAGTTCTTTCATCACCTACAAGACAATGAAACAGTGATTGACACTCAAACTAAAACCCGCAGGAGGGTGACGCAGGGGGGGTGAGCGGGAAAGCGGCGTCCCCCCAGCTCGAAGCCAGGCCCGCCGGTCTCAGGGGCTCGCGTGGTAGCCGCCTGACGGGGGGATGCCAACCGTAAAGAGAAAAGGACTGTTCTCTTGCTTGAGGGACTAGAAACATCAGCTTGCCCCCGGCAGGCCCCCTCGGATGGAGACTCGGGGACAGCTAGGGGACGGAGCCTGTCCCCCTCTCTGCAGTTCCAAACCTGCCTCGGGGCCTCCCCCCACCCCTGTGTATACAAACACACCTCCTCGCTCCACCCCCCCCCCCGAGCTAACCCGCTGGTTCATTCTAACCTGACTGCCCAGGATGTCTGTAATGATGACATCTGGCCCAGGGACGACAAATTCTGGGATGTGTCCTAGCCTAACTCTGTCTTACTTCTCATCTCTGTATCCCCAAAGTACCTCACAGAGGTGTCAGGAAAATTAAGTGATGGCTTTCTCCCAGACTCTTACTTCATGTGTCAAAGATTATCTGCTTGCTGACTTAAAAGTACTTAGCTGGTAGAAACTCATGCATGAGCCAGAGAATTTTCCACACAAGGAGTTGCCCTGTGAAACGCTGGAAAGAGGGCAGTTACAGGCCCAGCGGGGGCAGGATGTACTCCTGTTCCTCACCCCTCCCCCGCCCGCATATCCTCTGGCTTCATTTACTCAGCAAACACAGGCTCATCGCTGTTGCGGGGGCTGGAAACCCAGCGATGGTGCCCCGCCCCTGCCTGCCCTCCCTCCCCCCTCCCCCCTGCCCAGGGCAAGACGGGCCGGGGGAAGGGTCCCAGAGGGTCACTTCGGGCTGCGCCTTCTCCACGCAGACGACATTGGAATAGGGACAGCAATAAAACCAGACAGCGGATGGCTCAGGTGCCCGGTAGAGGTCATCTGCGGAGGCCCTGAGCCGCGGGCGCTCCCCACGAGCTCAGGAAGACTGAAGCGGCCCCATGGGGCTTCTCCACACTGGGGAGAGGGGACAGCAAGTACGCAGGCCGCGGTGAGGCGGGACCTTGCCTGGCGTGTGGGGACAGCGGCAGGACAGTGTGGCTGCGGTGGGGTGGCTGAGGACGGCGCGCGAGAGACCAGACCAACGGAGGCCAGTTCACGCCAGGCGCCGGTGGCCACCGAGAGAACCTTCTCCTCTGAGCGGGGAAGCCTCTCAACCACCAGCAAAGTAGCGGTGAGAGCTGACCTTTGTTTTAGCCGAGCAGCCGCGGAACTGAAAAGCTATTCAAACGTGCCACACTGAGAACACATGGACCTTCGTGTACCTGTGGCACCTGCTGCCACATCGCCCAGCCCCGGGGCCCAGGGTGGGTCGGCAGTTGGAAACCGGGCTTTCTCTGGGGTCACTCACAGTGTGTGAGTCTTAGAAGAAGCTATGAGATGTGCTGAAAGTTTAGCAAAACGCAATCACTGGGGATGGAAACACTTCTTGACTTACTGTTTAATGCCTTTATTTCCAATAAGAAAGGTTATTCGTTTGTGTGTGTGTAATCAGCCTACACTGCACAGAATCTGTTTACATCTTTGATTAGTTACAGGAAAGAGGGAGCAGAGGCCCCTTGTGGACCAAAGAGCCATCGTCATCCTCCACGGCCGCACCGCCATCTGCGCTCGCTCCTCAACGCTTTCTTGGCACTACCTCGGTAACCAGGCATTGCCCCCACCCTTGCATCGTCCCGCAGTAACCAAATGTTCGACTCCCCCGGACAACCTCGAGTTTTGCCTTTTTAAGATTAGAAAATAAATTTTTAAAAAAGAATTCCCCTAAACTACCTTTGAGATTTGCTAATGTGTTAGTATGTTTCAAAAATGTGTCCTTTGGGGAAATGCCTGGCAACGTGTACATTTCCTGGCTGTTCAGAGTGTTTTTATCTTTGGGAGGAAATGACCCCAGTAAGGCCAGCCCTAGCCTGGCCCCGCGCGCAGCCACTACCACGCCGCTGACCGTGCCTCCCACGCTGTCCTTCCCTCCCTCCGCCTGTGCTGTGACTTCCAGCCCATACTCCTCAACCCCTCCACGGTTTTGGGGGGCCCACTCAGTACACTGTGTCACTGTCCAGCCATTATGCTGTACACCTGAAACTAATGTCAAATAAAACAATGTCAACTGTAATTGCAAAAACCCACAATACCACAGGAGGCCTTTATTCATGGAAAATGAAAGTTTCAGGGGGAAAAGCAGCCCCAAGGGATGCACTTAAGACGTAACTCTGGGCAGCTTTTGCATGTTTACCAAAGGTCGGAAGGTGCCCTGCCCAGCACAGCGGCCCGTCCCTGCACTCACTACTTTAGAAGTTCGTGTTTGTGTGATCACAGCCTCACTTCCTTTGTGACTGGAACCCAGCACCTGCTGGGCCCACAGCTCCTACCTGGGGACACCCCTCGACCCGCACGTGGCATTGTGTAAAAAGAGCGACGCCTCCTGGTCTCCCCGTACGGACCGGCGTCCTGGAGACTCTCGGTATGAGACACTGTGCCCACCTGCGGCAGTAAGTCACATCGACACACGCTGACTAGTGACAGGCTTCGTCCCCGCGGAGTGTTGTACCTGTCACGTGGGGGTGGCTTTGCCGCGTTGCTTTGCAGGTCACAGAAACAACCAATTTCCCTGTTTGGGAGCAGCACTCCCAATAAGCCCCCTGCGACCTTCCACGTGTGACAGTGACAGTGGTAAAGTGGCCGCAGCACCCAGTTCTTTCTTCCGAGGCTCGCCCAGAGCTCTGCGATGAGCTTCGGAGCGTCTGTCTCCGGTGAAGATGGGCAGAGCCCGCGCGCGTAGGGAAGGGCCGGCGCGGCCACTGCAGGGACAGTCTCAGGGCCAAGACTGAGCTGGTTTCTGGGCTGAGCCCACGGCAGGCAGGACCACAGGCGCAGACGGCCAGCAGGTCCGGGAAGTGAGAGTGACTCGAACGGTTCGAGAAGCGAGGCACACACGGCTCCAGGTGGCGCTCCTCAGACCCCTTCCTGTCTGTCCTGTCCCTCGGACAGCGGACAGTGAAGCCTGCAGAGGGTGGTCCCAGTCTGCAACTACAGCACCAGAGAGGAGTCAATTTTGTGACTTCAGTACTCGTTCCAGGACGTGCACCACCAACTGGAGGGAGCCGGCCAAGGCCGTCGGTGACCGGCCTCGCTGCACTTGCACAGACCTGCCGAGTCTGATGGGGCCAGCAGCCTCTCTGGGTCAGGAGCAGCCTCGGAGGCCTCGGTGCACGAGGGGCGGGGCCGTCAGGAGAAGGGTGCCCACTCCCTCTGAGCCAGACAGAGCGCGCTCTGGCGCCCCCTTCAGGGCCGCGCGTGCTGTCCACCGCCTTTTGTCCTTCCGGCCCCACTGCGCTGCCAGCAAGGACGGCGCTCAGCAACAGCGGCACAAACACTCCTCTCAAATGTAACCCCTGCTCTGCAGCACCAACCAGTTTTGTTTGCAAACTCATTCCAGCCTTCCTGACGGGCGCATTCTGTAAATTCCCCCATGGAGCAGCTGCAGCATCTCACTAGTACCCTGGGGAATCAAACTCAAAATCTTTGGCCTTTGTTCATTTAAAGCTAAAAATATGAAAAAGACAGTTTTACTGCCATGAAATAATTAACACTGAATTTTAAAGGTAGAAGGGAGAAAGCTAGCAGATTTTAAGTTAAAAACAGAAAAGGACATAAATTATATGAACAAAAATAAGTGAAATATGAGGGCATGTTGGATGGATATTCCATGCACAGTTAAAAAAAAAGCAGCAACAATGAACTTGAACTGTGATGCAGAAACACACCAAGGGCGCTTGCACACCCACCTCACGGGGCTCGCACAGGCAGCCGGCCCTTTTGAAAACTCTCTTCATCAAGATGACTCCCAAGTTTTACTCCACCAACCCACGGGTGAAAGTGTTAAGGTGATTACACTGGAATCATGCTCTAGTCTCGGCAAAACCACACTGCTGGTCTCGCCTGCACCCAGAGCTTCGATGGCTGACAGGGGCCGTGGCCAGTGCTGCACTTCCGTGCCCTGCGTCCTTGAACCAGGGGTGACGAAGCCTCGCCCCGACGGTGGCTTTAAGAATGAAATGCACTAATGCACATAAGACAATCAGAGCAACGTGTGGCCACAGCAATGACTACCGTCACTTCATGTGTCCCAGGACACATTATGGAATGTCATGAAGCAAACTAGAGTTTCTCAAACCCAAGATGAGTTAAGTTTGGGCTTTAAAAAGTTGTTTAACATAAAGACTAGAAACCTTTCAAAAGTGCTGTCTAAACCCACTTTCCGTCGTTCTTTCTTTTGCTCATTTTTGGAAACAACGTGGTTTCCAGCCTCCCTGTCCCCCATTCCCCAACCTCAGACCGACGGACACAGAATTACTGCCGTGGGGGCCGGACGGGGGTGGGGGATGTGGGGGTGCCCAGCCTGTAACGCACTCAGCCTGGGAGGAAAGGAGAAGGTGCAGCGATGGCCCTCGTCAGAATCTGTCCTTCCAGGTACGAACGACGGCCACCTCAGTCGAACGAGAGGTGGATGAATTTTGGGGGAGGGAGACCAGATTTCTCACTGGGGTTGTGAAGCATCAGATCCCTGCAGTCCCTTGGAAATGGTCCCTTAGACCCCTGCTTGGAAACGCTCCGACCCCGCCGGGCGGGAGGCCCCGGAAAGCAGAGACTAGGGGCTGCACACACAGCACCGTCACTTCGGGTGCAGCAGCATCTGGCGTAAAGACACACTCCTAACCCTGTTTTCTGAAACAAAAAAAATCCGCTGAAACCATTGTTAGTAAAATACTATTAAGTGAAGTCTCAAATCCTTCCTATTTCTAAACTTTGTGAAGGAGAAAGGACTATACTACTACACTGTTTACGGAGAAAACAGAGTCATAAAAAGCTCTGTAAAAACAGCTTTAGAAAAAGAGGAAATGACGCAAACAGACTTATTAAAATTCATACCAAACGATTCTCACAGTCACCTTTGAAAACCAAAAGCACGAGAAGAACGGTAACGTGGGGGGCGGGTACCTGTGCTGCGCAGGACTTCCACGAGCTTCTCCCTCTTCGCGTACTGGCCCACCTGCAGGACGGTCTGCCGCACGTCTGTACAGGCTCCGCCCACTTGTCCAACAGCGACGAACAGGTAGTTCGACTTCAGAAACTCCCCGGCCAACCTCAAAAGACAAAGATCCTTCCTTAACTCACCCTCTTCCACTGATGCCCGGGACAGCTGCTAAAATCCTGCCAGTGTCACTTCAAGACTCATTAGGTTGTGACATCTACAGTGTGATAAGGTGGAGTATCAGCCAAGCACTGTTCCCAAAGGTCAAAGTCAAGTGTCACGTTTCAGTAAAACAGGTAATTACTAGTGAAAAAGCTTGTGGGGCGCAGTGGGCACAGTGACAGCGGCAGACGCCCTGACCGTGCGCAAGTGCGCACGGCGGTGTAACGATGTAAGTGTGCGCCATGCATCGAATATGTACACAACAACGATAAAAACTGTGCTGTACTATATACAATGTATACAGAACAAAAATAAAAAGTGAATCTCAGACTACAACAAGCAAAAATTTCCACTGGAGACTGAACTGTAAGTTTATGGAGAACAATGTTCTCCACTCACAGCGTTTACGGCGTTAGGAGCCGTCTGTGAGTCACTGAACTGCCAATGAATCGCTGTGAGCAAACCAGACCTTCCCCCAGTACCTCTCCCATCACAGCCCCCACAGAAAACCACACTCAGTGAGCAAAACTGGGCCAAAAAAACAGAGGGAGAGAGGTAGGGCCCGGAGGCGGGGAGGCCAGGGCAGGCCATGGGCACTCACCCCGTGGCTGGGGCTGTCCGCACCCAGACACGTGCCAGGTCTCCAGAGCCCTGGAGTCGGGAGCAGGGGAACTGCCTGTTACAGAGCTGAGTCTGGAGGGTCCAAGGGCAGACCCGAGTCTGTCTCCGGTCCTCCTCTCTCCCATGTAGCTGTCCCCGATTTTCTAGCTGCCTCCCGGAATATCATGGAACCAGTGCACAGGCTCAGCACGCCCAGCGTCTTCACAACAAACGCACTGCCGTTTCCTCCTCCTCACCTCTTTTCCCAGCAAAGAAAACAGACAAGCTTCCTTTTGATCCACCTTCCTTTAGAGTTGAGACCTCTCCCCAGGCACAGACCCTGAGATCATCTGCAATTCTTTACTCCCCATCATCCTTTTCACTCACCAGGCAGCTGGGAGAGCCCAGCATCCGGCGCACAAGGCACAAGGCACCGGGGGCGAGAGTGCCTCTGAGGGAGCACTTCAGGCAGGACACACACAGTTGTATACAAATAGTAACTATGCTTTTCAAAACATACAGTGCAATAGCTATGTGTTTTAATTATGTGCTAAATATTTTAATATTTAATACATTTATTGTAAAATCTAGTGTCGCAACAGTTAGCATCGACTGAACACTTACGTATTCCAACAAATGTGCAGAGTGTTTTAAATAGTTTACAATGATGTGTGTTGAGAAGAGTGTTCAAGTGTGAAGCAGCAAGTCGCAGTGCGGAGCAGCACTGGGTGGGCAGAGGCGCTCCGTGCACCAGGAGGGAGGGGCAGAGCGGACGGCGAGGAGGACGGGCTCGCCTTGCACAGCCAACAGGCAGCAGTCTGCCTTTGAACCCTCGCCCAGGGATCTGTTCACTGATTTCAGACAGTGGTCCACGCTGTCATTTAGGCTGGCGGTTACCCAAATACTTTCGTGTTTGGGTAAATCAGAGAACACATGGGCAGTTCATATGACCTTAACTTGCTAGTTAAGGAGGTAATTGGCAATAGTAATTCCCAAGGATGATTATGGAAATGTAGGTATCCCACTTCAGACTTAAGAAGCCGTTTAAGTACAAGAAACGCTTACTTGGTGCAACACTAAGAAACAAGCTGTGCCAGCTGCCTAAATGCTTTCGTAGGAGCCCTGGTCTTCTTCCCAACACTAGGCTCTAACTTTACACGCAGACTTCTGAACCCGTGACAACTGGAGCGCCCTGAGGCCAGCTCCGTACTCCGAGGCCTGGTGTGCACTGGGCCCCACGCAGCTTCCCGCCGGACCGGGGCCACTTCAGAGCAAGGTGGACATGCTGTGCCGCTACCCCCAGAAGCTGCCCCCCACCCCCAGGCAGAAACGGGAACCGCCCACTGACAAGGCAGGTCACGGGCCAGCGTGAAGCGACTCTCCGTAAGGCTGGCCCGTCGCCCGACAGGGCACAGAGCGCACACGTCCTGTCCCCCACAGTGCACGGCTCCTGCAGGTCCAGGGACCTGGGCTCCCACACAGGGAGCCGCTCCGCCACGGCGTCTGCGCTCCTCAGGCTCCCTGTGGCCAGGGACCAGCGTGCAGCAGGAAGAGTGACCGCACTCGCAGGGATGCAGCCCCCAGACTCAGAGCGCACCAGACCCACGGGTCCCGGGCTGGTGCGCCAACTCTCCACCAGAGGCCCAGTGCCGCCAAGCTCCATAATTTAAACTTGGAGAAAACACACAAAACAGCAACTCCATTTAGTGAGCCCTCACGGAATCCTAGCTGGGTGCTGAGCTACACACATGCACGCGCACACACACGCACACATTTATTAAAATGTGAGGCTAATGCGAGCCCAGGGACAAAGGTAGGAAATGATGAAAAATACGGTGAATTTGTAGGAGTGCACCCACTTTTCACACTATTTTAATATCTTAAAAAAACAGACCCCCAAACACAGGGTGTTCACACTGCTACTGCTTCTGCTTCCGTGGAAGGACAAGTGTCCACGAGAAGGACACCTACCTCTGAATCTCCTCCGGGAAGGTGGCGCTGAACATGAGGGTCTGGCGCTGCTCCTTCGGCGGCATCCCCGGGCAGGAAATCAGTTTCTTCATCTCGGGCCCAAAGCCCATGTCCAGCATGCGGTCGGCTTCGTCCAACACTAAGTACCTGACTTGTCTAAGGCCGATCTGCAGGACAGTTTGAAAGATCAGACAGTACGCAGTAGCTAACATTAAAACATTCGTCACGATTCCAACGACTCACACGCTCATATGGGCAGAAGTGAGAATCAGTGCGCAGGACGAGAGCGGCCGCACCCGGGTGGCAGTGTCGCTGCCTGTGTCAGCTCTCCGCTCCCCTGCGTGTGAGCCTCTGTCAGTGAGGACCGGAGGGAGCCGACCCGTCCGCACCAATCCCACACAGCGGACCTCAATTGCTCAGAACTTCTGCACCTTCACGGCCTCCCCTGCCGGCCCCCGGCCCACGTGGCTCTGAAGCACTCGCCGTGGGCCCATGCGCTTGTGGGCCAACGTGCCTGGCGAGCTGCCCAGACAGCACAGGTCTGGACTGCGTCCTCGGACCAGGTCGGGCTCCTTAAGCAACAAGAGTCCCCGAGTGGACGGCAAAGGCACATGGCTGGCAGAACGCGGGTCTGCTCTGACTGCTTTGAAGCCTTTCGAACGCCTCCACGCTCCCCTCAGTCAGACACGGCGGGGACATGCCACCCCCGAGAACGGGCACCGCCGGGGGAAGCAGCACACGTCCGCGACACGGGAGGCGTGCTGTGGCACAACCGCAGGTGGACCCCACTGAGAGCTCCGACGGCAGTGCCGGTGCAGAGGAAGCCCCGAGTGACCCCGTACAGGACGTCTGAGCAAAAGCATATCACACCCACAAAAGTGAACTTAGAGTATTGATTTAAAGTCTTAAAAGTTAACGATCCTGGTTAAGATCACTCCCACACTTAAAAAGGAGGCAAAATTACTGATGTCGAAAGCTTTCTTCCAGGAAAAAAGATTTCACTAAGACAAACATGAAACTAGACAAAAACACTCACTGCCTTTCTCTATTGTAGTCGGGCGCAATACGGAGTCCAAAATCAGATCCAGACTCTAATCCCAGCCCCATTGCTCACTAGCTAAGCGGGGGTTTCTTTAAATAAGTTAAACAATTACACCGAGTTTGTTTTCCGCATGTGTGAAATGAGACCGACTGCATCTCCTGTTGAAATTCTAAGGACTGTGTAAGAACTCGAGGGGGCCCAACAGGGAAGTGCTGTGGCAGCCGCTGGAGGAAGGCCCCGCCTCCCGTACAAGAGAGACCGTCACCGGCCTCACGGGCGCGGCGGCCCGGGCCCACCTTCTCTTTGCTGATGACGTCCATCAGCCGCCCCGGCGTGGCGCACAACACGTTGCAGCCCTGGACGATCTGCCGGACCGAGTGCCCGAACTGGGTCCCCCCGTATATGACCACGGCTCTCACGCAGGTCCTGGCGACCAGAAAGACAAAGGTCACTTGCTAATCACTCGAAAATTACACATTTGTTTCTAGTGGGATGTAAAACCAAATCCACAAAGAAAAAAATGAATACATTGAACTATCTTTAAATAAATAAATTCTTCCCAGGAAGTTGATAAACAAATGAAAAACTTTGAAAAAATGCTTTGTTACTTATCTGATAACAGGCTCTTCGAAAACAAGGATAAACACCACCAACCCCCACACTAACAGGACAGAAACAGGGCGAGAACAGGGGCAGGTGGCTCCCTGAGCACACGAATGGCGCTCAGACGTTTCTACGCTCCGCGGCGCTCTGACAAGGGGGAGAGCGGCAATGACCAGCAGGACGTCCGCCCTCCAGTGTGAGGATGCCCTGGGGAGCAGAGTTGGGGGGGGGCAGTGGGGGGGGGGCACCACCCCTCTCACCCTTGGAGCCTCTGCGGAGCTTCCCGCACTGACTCCTGTCCCAGCAGATCCACACTTGGGGACCCGCCCATCAGCTGTGTCCCCACAGCAGGCAAAGGTGACTGAGAGCACAATTCATGACCAACAGTATTTTTAGTATCAAAAGTCTGAAAACCATCTAAGTGTCTAACAGCAGAAGACTTAAAATTAGTCTCATTTCAAATAAACTAATTTATACAAAATAAAAGGCTAACAGCTTCTACACAGGAAATTCTAAAAACGTTGTAAAGAAAAACACCAAGATCCCAGCAGATAAAGTGGTTAGATAACAATTGGAAAATTTCCAAAGGAAAATTATTAAGCATTCACAAAGTAGTTCAACCTCTTAACAAATAAAGTTTAAAAATAAAAATACCTGCGGTGGTTTAAAATATGTACACAAATTCTTTAATATGCCTTCTTTCTGTCAAATATGGGTCCCACCCCTCCCCACAAGGGTGTGCACGGCTGGCTTCGCAGGCCGAGACCCACAGGGTCACAGTGGGCCCGAGCCTGGAGGAGCCTGGGCTGACGCTCTCCTCTTCACTGCCCGAGTCCACGGGAGTTTTGAACAAGGAACCTGCATTTGCACTGGGCCCCGAGAGCTGCACGGCCAGTCTGAGCAGGGACTGGGACCCGGTGCCTTCTCAGTGACACACAGAATGTGGCGGAAGCGACTGTGACCATTCTGCAGCACAACAGCCATTCAGGCCCCTCCTGCTCCTCCTCACTGACCCGTCAGTCACGGAGCTGTGCCATGTGCGGGACAATCCAGCGTCAGTCCGCAGGGGCCCAGCCAAGGCTTCGGAAGGCCGCAGTCCTGGGCCACCTCTTGTCTGTCTGCGCCTCACAGGAGGCCCCCGGCCAGAAGCACCGAGCTCAGCCGCCTCTCAGCCCCCGACCCCAGAAACTGCGAGGCCGTGGCAGCTTCTGCTTGCGCAGCTCGGTTTCAGGGGAATTTGTTCGGGCGCAGCAGGCAACCGACAGGACACCAGACACCAGCCGAGTGCACGGTGCGATGGGCAGCCGTGCCCTGCAAACCGAGGTGTGCACGGGTGCGAGCTCCAACGTAAGCCCGCGTCCTGTAACGCTACCTTCACTAAATCCTGCTGTAAGGAGCTACTTAAAACATAAAACGGAAAAAGCACACGGCAGCTGTTCATTATATGGTTGTTTACAGCAGCCCCAGGTTAGAAACAACGTAAATGCCCCCAAACAGGGAGATAAAACATATGCAGGTGGACAACCTTAAAGGCACCACGAATGAGGTCTGATTACATGAGCAGTTTTCCAAAGCTATGTGTAAAAAAACCGCATTTTTATTAGAAAGACCCAAGTTCATTTTTTTAATTGAAATCTACCAGATAATACACCAACGTGTTCACGACTTCCTTACCATCCTCCTTCTATTATCTAATTTCTGATAAGCATGCTTGTCTTTAAAATTAAAGTAAGCAGGGACTCCATAAATAAGAGTATAAAGAAGAACATTTCAATTAAGTGACACTAAGTCCACAGTCACGCCTTCACGGAGCTCTTCCCCACCAAGCGGGGACAGCAAGGACGGGGGGGGGGGGGGGGCAGCCTCCTGAGTGCACTCACCCGAAGGAGAACTTCCGGGCCTCGAGGAAGATCTGGTTGACTAGCTCCCGGGTGGGGGCCACGACCAGGCACTGGGGCTCCTGCAGGTCCCGGAAGCGGCTGGCGGTCACGCCGTCACGCATCATGTGGGCCAGGATGGGCAAGAGAAAGGCTGCCTGCAGGTGAAAGGGCCCCGCCCCGGCTCGTGAGGCACAGCCCCCCGCCTGCAAGGACCCACCTGGGGGCCTTCCTCCACCCTGCCGGCCAGTTTGAATGAGGAAGGAAACCGATTTCATTTCAATGAAGCTTTAACCTTCAGGTCTTCGTGCTCACGCCACACAGTATGAAACGTCTGGTGACGTCACCCTGCCCTATCAAAACACCTTTAGTTCTCCTTCAAAAGCATTTAGATGACGTGTTACAGACCTGGACACTTGACACCTGAGTAACTTCACTAATGTCCCTCAGTAAATCCAACAGAAAGTAAAGACAAAATAAACAGTACCACTGCAGAAACTACATCTGGCAAGAAAAAAATTTTTTTTTGCTATACTGCTTCCATTCAGCACATGAGACCCTAAAATCTACCCCCCCAACCACGTCTGAGCCCCGCCTCAGCTGCTCCACCACACGCCCCCCCCCCCCCCGTCGTCCCTCGACTCTGCCGTGTCGGCTGAGACCGACAGACCAGGACCCAGAACCAGGGTCCTGGAAGTGGCCATCTCAGACTCGCCTCGCGGAACCCGGCTCACTAAGCCAATGCCACTGCGAGCCCCGAGGCCGAGGCCGCCGCATCGGTGCTCCCAGCTGAGCACCAGCACCTGCCGCCGCCGCCGTTGCACAGAGCTCTTTCCCACCCTTTGGACGCCCAAACTGCTCACCCCGTCACACGTTACCTTCTCCCTCTCTCTGCGCTTTACTACCTCTGGTCCCTCGCCCTCTACCGTTTGTTTTAGGAACTACCGTGTTCTACAAAGCAGCTGAACACACTTAGAAAACATCTACTCACTGCAAACTACTCTAAACATAGGGATTCCTTCTTCAGAGGCATGAAACCCCAATGAAACTGGAAATCAGAAGCAAACATAAACACTCATGACAGTTCATTGAAATTACCTTCAAACCTTCGATCCAGCAAAAGAGACTCAAGCTACTCTGGAAAGGGAACGTTCAGAACGACGTTAACAGCTGGAGCACAGGCAGGGAACATGCGTGGGCGGGAACGAGCGGGGAGCGACTCACGGTTTTCCCGGACCCCGTCTGAGCGCAGGCCATCAGGTCCCGCCCGGCGAGGATGATGGGGATGCTGTACTTCTGCACAGGCGTCAGCTTGGTGTAGCCGGCTTTGGCGATGTTGTTGCTCAGCGTCTGACAGAGGTCAGCTTCTTCGAACGTCTAGAGAAAGGGCAGTGACTCGGTTCCGTCCACCGGTGCAGACCACTCCACCAACAACGGTGCACTGAACCGAGATCGAGTCTGGGTTAGTCCCACTTCACATACTGCAGTGACTTCGCTGACAGGCCCCACTCGAAGTGACACTGAAAACGTGGGCGCTGCTCGGCAGAAGGATGGACTCGTTCTTGCAGACGGCGGTTCCGCAGACACTGGCTGCCCAGTTAAGCCTCTCATCAGTGCCCAGAGCCCCTCCTGACCAGGCGGGACCGTGAGCCACCCCACCCAACACCTTCGAAAACCACTCCCGAGACACTCTTTCTCACATGGGAGGCCAAAATCTCGAATCTCTAGAAAAAGCACCCTTTCTAGTAAACTTAAGTTCTCATCCTGGTTCAGAGAGGTGGGGGTGAGGCAGAGTGGCCTCTCCTTCAACACAGCAATTAATTCTGTGTGCGTGGTACATGCGGTGCTAAACGTCCAACCCCACACGCTAGGGACTGCAGATGCAAGTTCCATAGTCTTTAACACCAAGCTATAGGAAGGCACCTTAGTTTCTAAACCCAAGTCTGCCACAGTCTCAACGGGGGTGACATGAGGGAGCGGCCTGCCACTGACCAAGATCGCCGGGGGCGCGTTGTGCCCGGAAACCTCCACCAGGATGCTGTCGTACTTGTCGAAGTTGATGCCCGTCTGGTAGTGCGCGAAGATGGAGCCCTCGTCCTCGGGTGGCGGCGGGGGGATGTAGGTCACCTTGGGGCCTGGGGTCCAAACGAGAAAGAACCTACATCACAGGACTAGCAGAACCACAAGAGGAGAACGAACAAAATGGACCAAATCAAACTTGAAACACTGCAGCCTTCGCCCGTGTTCACCACCAGAGCCCCCACCACACACCCTGAGAAGCACACGCACACTCACGGGCGTGGTGAGCGCCGGCACATGCGTGTGCCGGGAGCGCCTGGGGCTGCATGTGAAGGAGCCAGGGAAACGAGGAAGTGATTGTTTTCAATTTTAGCTGCTCGCTCGACCATAAGGACAGGGTGCACTTAAAGGAGGTACAGAGCTGATTGTATTAAGTCAGTTCCTGGAACGCCAAGCAGGGGGGGTTGGTAAAAAGACCACAACCACAGCCTGAGGTTTAAAAGCCAATCAGCCATACTATCACGAGCTGTCCACGAGCTCTAGTAACCAGTCCTTGGTCAGATCACGCACCTTAGTATAGCCCCTGAGCCAATAGCTAACTGCCACCTTCTGCTTCTGGAAGTTGCTTGCTTGCTCGCCCCTATAAGAATCCTCGCCTGTAAGCGTTAGGCGCGACTCTCATTTGCAGCCATTTTGGCACTCGTGTGTCTCCGGAGGCACCCCGAGAGTTCGCCCCTGCGCAGGTAAAACTTTGAAACTTTGGCCAATAAAACACCTCTGACTACCCAGCAGTCTCTGACCCTTCTTGCTCGCAAGGACGGGATGTAACACACGCACCTGGGGTGTCGACACTCTCTGCTCCTTCCGCTGCTGATTTCCAAGAACCTTGAAGGGATCGGAGCCAAAGAGGGAGATGGTTTTAAAAACTGAGGGCAACAGAACTCTCACGGTAAGAAGCAAATACTTTGTCTATAGTAAAACTTACTCTTTCCAGAGCTTGTTACCACTTCCTCATTTAAACCTTTGTAACCACCTACGAAAGACCAGAGTCGACCATCAGTCAAGATGCAAGGCTGGGCACACCTTCCTTTTCACTGCTTTTCTCAAAGAGAACAAGCTCTGAAAAGGGACAGACATCTTTCAAGTCCGTTTGCACAAACAATACTTGAGGCAATTGAGATGAGCAAAACCCAGAACACTTTAAGTTTCCTGAGTACTCCAAACTCCGACTGGAAGCAGCTGACTCGGTCGTACACTCACTGCTTTTGTGCAAGTTGTTATGTCTACATCCCAACTCCCACGTCCCGCAGCAAAGGAACGAAACGTCCATCTGTGCTCCCACGACCCCCCAGGGCCCACGGGGACAGCGGATCTCGGGGAACCACGGAGGAAACCTGCCAGGCCCAAGCTGGCACATCCTCGTCCACCGGTGTCACACCGGACGCGCCCGATGCCGTGCCCAGGGCTGTTGGAGGGACCAATGGCACAGACACCTCCTGCCTGGCAACCCCACCCCCCAGACCCAGGAAGACCAGCAGGCATCAACTGTACTGCTGCCCGAACCGGGGCAGGGGGCACAGAGTGACAGAGCGCCAGTCTCAGCGGCAGTGGGGGGCAGCCTCCCAGACACAGGCCTGCCGTGCAGGCCGCCAGGGCAGCCCCACTCTGCGCACCAGGCTGCCCTCGGGTCTCAGACACACAAGGGCTGCGTGAGACGGAAGAGCTGACATTCTTCCATGGCCCACCCACCCTCCCATCCACAGATGGGCCTCGAGAGCCGTTCTCACACAGTACATGAGCGTGTGGGGAGGACACGGACTGACCAGCCAGGGACAGTCTCCTTCCAGTGCGGAGGGCCAGGACTCAGGTAGGGTGCTGAACGTGTCTGACTGGCAGAGACCACTGCCAGCTGCTCAGTGACATCCAGGGGTCGCCATCTCGTCGGCCGAGAGAGCACTTTAACTTTTTTATATGACGTGAGGATTTGCAACTGAGATCGCTTTCACAGCACCAAATCACACTCAACAGCTTCCCCTCTACCATACAACCATATCGTCAGAAAACAAGTTTTAAAATGGTGAGGATCTGCATGCACGGACGCACCTCGATCATCCATGGTTTGCAGGAGCCCCATTTCATGGCCACACTGTTCATTAAAGTTACTCACTGTCAAATTTCGGGTGGTCTTCAGTTTTCACTCATCGTAAACAGAGCTTCGGGGACAGCCCTGTGCACGTACTGAGCTCCCCCCGCCCCGCCCAGCATGTTACAGGTCCCTCCAGAGCGGGCCCTGCAAACGTGTGCCCCTCAGAGGCACAGAGGCAGCACCAGTGACCTCTGACCGTGGAAACGAAGCTGGACCGCCGTCCCTGTGACCACGCATAGGCGGCTGACCACGCACAGGCAAGCCGAATAAACACTCACCTCGTCCGCCTCCACCCCGGTTTGGGAAAACGTCGCCATTGCCTGTAAGACACCGATTTGCAGAACGTTCAGAGAACACACAGCTTTTGCTCCAGCAAATGAGCTGCAGACCTGTTTCTGCACAAATACTGAGCTACGCACCGGGGGTTCCTGGTCCCTTAATCCACCCACCTCTTAAATCCACACATAATTTAAACCTTTTCCTCATCTGGATGTTTCAAGATTTCACACGTTAGAGTAGTTTTGGGCTCACAGCAAAGCTGAGGGGAAGATACAAAGAACTCCCAGGCACCCTCTGCCCCATGCTTACCTCCCACCCTCAGACCCCGCCGAGGGGCGCCTGTCACAGCAGATGCACCCACACTGACGCGTCCCCACCGGAGCCCACAGTTTACATAAGACTCATTCACGGTGCTGGGCACGCTGAGTGGCACCCTCCTGCGAGTCACGCAGAGGCAGCTCCCTGCCCTCCAACAGCTCGGTGCCCGCCTCCCCACCCCCTACCCACCCACGGAACCGGCAGATCCCCCGGGCCCCTCCCCAGGCAGAGGTGGAAGCAGACGGGGACGCCTCTCCAGCTGGCTTCTCTCGCTCGGCGTGTGCACGCCCGGCTCCCCCACGCTTCCTCGGGGCCCGGCAGCGCCTCCCACGGCAGCGCTGAACGACCCCCAGTCGGGGGGCCCCCAAGCTCGCACACCCACACTCGAACCTTTTCACCAACAACTGTATCCTTAGCTCATTTCCGCCCCTGACCCCCAACTCAGAGCCCGTCCTGGTCCTGGAGGCTTCTCGGAGGTCTGCGTCTGGCCGGCCTCACTCTCCTCCCTCGCACTGAAAGTGCACCAGCAGCTAAGAGGCAACGCAGTGCACAAAGTCTGTAAGCGGGATGACACCAGCCACGCGTTCTTGCCTACAGCCCTCGAAAGCAGAGAAAAGCAGGAGCCAGGCCGGCACACGCACACACATGCCGAGGGGCCCGCGGGCCGGGACTCGGAGCCCGTGTGAACGGGGCTCCTTGGCGTGACGTCTGCTCCTCACCTGCGCCGCTCAACGCTGGTCGCCTGGATCCAAAAAGGCCGCCTGCGCGCTGTGTCCCCTCGTCCCGATCGTACTCACTGTCTGGGTTTGTAGAGGACAAAACCAGAGTGTCGCTTTTAAGAAGTTTTTGAGTCACGAGTAAAAAGAAAAAAATCAAGTTACAGCAGCAGAAGTTAAAAAATGTGGGGTAAAACAGTTTACATTTAATAGGAATCATGCATTTTTCTGTGTATCACACGAGGGATGTCTCCACAACTTATTTCTCTCAATCACAAATTACTTCCTCAGTAATTCCTCAGATTTTCATCTTATTAAAATTGCTTTATAAAAGAAGTCGGGGCCAATGCGTGTTACAGTGCGACCTAGCGTAAGCAGAGGTGCCAGACCGCCTCCAAAGAGCAGCGCACAGTCGGCCCGGGGGCTGCATGCGGGCGGCTGCTTCCCGCGGCCGCCGAAGGGAGCCTCGGCCGCCCTGGGCAGAACCTCCAGGGCCCTGTGCTCGTTAAAAAGTGACAATCCACTATTCTGCTGCACATCTAGTAAATCGTCATCGCAAACTTATGTCTTCACTTCCAAAACCACTGATCTGTCCCCCACGGTTAGGAGAGACACACAATCCGACACTCTGCGTGTCTGAAGGCAGCCCCTCAGCCCCACGGAGGGGTGGCCGGAGGCCGTCCAGGTGGGCAGCCTCGCTGGCGAGAGGAGGCCCCTGGGGAGACAGCGACGCACAGAAGGCCATCTGTGAGGGCAGCCCCATCGGCCGGGCTCAGCGACCCTCAGGAGTGCGGAGCAGCAGAGAGTGCGGAGCAGCAGAGAGCCGAGTCCCGCTGCCTGCTGGAGGTCCCCGGACTCCGACTTACCCAGAACGCATGGACCACGTCCAAATGACATGTGTCCCGCACAGGTGCCCGCGCACCGTGTGCCCATGCTGTGCTGAGCTGTCCGCATGTGACCCTCCTAACGACCCCATGTGACAGGCATCATTCTGTGTCATTTCCTTGGCACAGGATCACACCACTGTGACCCACTACTCACTTAGACTTCCTGGACCGAATCCCGCTCGGCAGCCGCGGAAGCCCCCTCTTCCGCCTCTCCTGGATGAGCCCGACGCTTCCGGATCGTTCCCGTCTTGATAGCCTAGAGCAGTGACACACACAAGAGCCACAGGAAACAAAGACATTCTGGGGACACGACGGTCTGATTTAACTTAAGCTTTGATAATTCCATTACTTTACACAAGCATTTTAAGGCATCAACAAATAATTACCAAAAAGAAACACCACAATTGACCTACGCATGTTTGACTTCACTACTATAAATAGATATGGCTACAATTTAAAGAATCCACTGCTTGCTTTGGGGATGAAAACTAAAAATGACTAAAATGATAAAGTTGCCACAAATGCCGAAAATATCGAAAGCCGTCACAACTGCGTCACTAACGGGATTTCTGCAGTCCCCGGGTGGACTGGAGAAATCTGGGCACAGACTAAATACACGGGTGGCTCCGAGGTGCTGCGCCGCCTGCTTCGGGTCACTCAGCTGGCAGGCGCGGAGAAGGGACACTGCACGCAGCCCGGAACCCGAGGCGCGCTGTGCCGCAAAGGCTCGCGTCCGCCGTCCCGACAAAGGAGGTGCAGAACCGCCCGGCCCCACAGAAAGCAGTGAACATCACTCAGAACAGAGACAAACAAGCGCATACAAAGTCTGACTTCCACCTCAACTAAATCCCAACAAAATCAGTACAAACAGTTCAAGTAAAACAGGATCCCACCTAGGGCAGAACAAGAGGAATTCAAGACTAAGATGCCAACTTAGTGGAGACTGTACATTTGAGATTTACTTTATGAACTTGGAACTTTTCATACCTAAGAACTGTTACTGATCAAGAAGTTGAAATGTCTCACATAAGACATGTCTTGATAGTGGAGTCTGGGTGTTTTAAAGCCCATTTATAGCCTGGATGGAACCAACTCAAAGCTCTGCACCGGTGACCTGTCCCGTGTGGCGCTCTCCTCGCTCCAGCCACAGCTGGGCAGTCCCTGCACCCACGCCATCTTCTGAATTATTTGTGCCACTTTAGCTCTTAAGGAACCCTGTCAAAATTCCTCTCTTCATGAAATCTTTTTGAGCTGCATGTCTTTTTCAGGTGTAAGTTGTTTTCTTGTTTGTGTGTATAAATCAAAGAACATACGAAACACATGTACATTTGAAACATCATAAAGCAAAAATCAGTCCCACCCCCCATTTAAGACTAAAACGCCCCCGACGTCTCTCCCCCCCGTGTGTCTGTGATGTCCCCTTCTACGTCCTGGGAACCCCCCGCCCACCCAACATCCTGAGCTGCTTTCCACTTCCTTGCTCTCATTCTAAGCCCACCAATCACGTACTTGTCTCTACTCAAGGCAATGCTGAGCTTCGCTGGAGTCGAGATGACGCACTCACACAGAACCCGTCCTTCATCCGGCGCCCCTCACACGCCCTGGCTTCTGTCGCTACGGGAAACTGCACCTGCGGTGGCGGCTGAGCAACACTCCCCGCCCCGTCTCCACCCTACTCCCGTCCATTAGCTTTTGAACTTCCTCTATGGAGTCATCTTATTCAAGATGGACACTCATTTCTTTTCTAATGGACGCATTTAAGCCTGTAAAATTTCCTCTAAAAGCTAGTTTGTGGTCGCTTGATCCCGTAAGTTTGGACAGACTCCATTTTTACTGTCATTCGGTTCTAAACATTTCCACACGAGCTGTTCTTCATAAGCTGAGAAATTCAGTTCCCCAACTACCAGGGTGAGGCTTTTGATGCTGATTTCTGCTTTTATTGCTCTTTAACAAGAGGCCATGGTCTTGGTAGAAATTCTGTGGTATTTTGAAACTTCTTTCTGGCCTTAACAGATGAGATGATCAAGTTGGATGTATTCTTCCATACACTGGGAAAGAGTATGTAATTTATGTTTTGGGGGTATAGTTTTCCACACAGAAATATTAAATCAAGCCTAGCAACTGGGATTCAAATCTATAGTAGTTCTATAGTCTTCCTCATTTTCACTCTGCTCAGTCATCAGTTTCTTGAGAAAAAACTGACTGAAATCTAGAATTAAGGATTCAATGAGGATGTGCAAATTTTTCTTCTGTTTATTTTTGCTTTATGTAAGGAATGTGTTGCTAGATTCAAACCACCCTCGGAACTGCGATGTCTCCCTAGTGAGCACCATTTATCATAAACGCGACGTCGCCGCTGGCGTGTCTGCTGCAGCTCCCGTGTCTGAGGGCTGACCCCCGTTCTTCGGTCAAGAACAGACTGACATCGCCTCTTTCGGGCTGCATTAAAATACGTTTACGTGTATTGTGACTACTGATACATGAGTTTTCGTTTCTTCCATCTTGTTCTGTGTCTTCATCTTACTGAGTTTTCAATGTTTGTTGAGATCCTTTCTGTCCTTTGTTTCATTTCACACTTTTACTGATATCCTTCCACTTCACCACAAATATTTAAGAAACATTCAAACAACCTTCGGCCGAGACTCCTCCGTCCAGAGCCCTGTCCTTCTGTTGCACTTCCCCACTGGGAGGTTACGCATTTTATGTTACCCCTTTTCTGATCATCCTCCGATTTTACCGTATTTAAGAAGTCGTTAAATTATCTCCCATTTATTCTCCTTGCTTCTGAGCTGGCAAAAAACTTAAGTCTCTTCTTTACTAGTATTTTAGTTCTCTCTTGTGTGTAAAACCCCTAAATTAATCATCAGTATCAGCTTACACGTTCATCAGTCACTTAGGTTTACCAATATGTTTACAACTTTAAAATTTTTATTTACTTACAAGGCTTATCATTGCTTTCTACCCTCCTTCCTATTCGGGTTCCTTCCCGCTCGCCTAGATAATTCAGTGCTTGCCCTCAGCGGCCCGAGAGCACTAAGCGCCGTCTCGGACTGAGCGGCGTCATTCCTCCCGGACACCAGTCTGGCCTCTGAACACCACCCGTTCCCGGCGCAGCTTCTCCACATGAGCATCTCCGCTCGCGGCCGCTGACCGTTCCCAGGCCGACCTGTCTCCTCCTCCCGGGAAAGACCTTTTTGCCTTCGTGGTACCGTCACTCCCACACGTGCACAGGGCGTGGACGTCTCCACTGGATTTGCTCAAGACCCCTGTGCCCCTCTACACGCCCCCCCCCCCGCTCCCCTCGGACTGCTGTCCGCTCTGCTCCCCGCCCAGGGGCGCAGACACGGGCTGGAACAGCAGGGCTGCTCCCAGGGCTGCTACCGGCGCGCAGGTTCCCCCGCTCAGAGACGCTCCCGGGTCTGCCCGTGGACTCCCTGGCTCTGCCCCCGTGTTCACGCTGGTTGGTCCGCCACCGCGTTTTCTCCGTGCTCTTCTCCCTCCTGCAGACTCAGTTTGGTGCCCTGACACCCACCTTCTCCACCAAGCCGACGGCCGTGTGGTGTGTGGGGTCTCTGCTGCCTCCTGCACACTTGCTGACTGCACACGCAGCCGAAGCCCCGACACACACGTGAACATGTGCAAACGACGCTGGTCCCACGCCTCTCGTGGAGCCTGGTAACTAGAGGTGGGAGGAGCACAGGGCTCCGCGTGACTCAAGTTCTGTGCGGTCTCCTCATTTGAAGGTGGGGACAGAGGTGCCATGCATCCTACATGGTCTTTTTTTTTTTTTTTTTTTTTTTAAGATTTTACTTATTTATTTTGGAGGAAAGAAGGGAGAAAGAGAGGGACAGAAACGTGAATGTGTGGTTGCCTCCCATGCGCCCTCAGACCTAGCCTGCAACCCAGGCATGTGCCCTGACTGGGAATTGAACCGGTGGCCCTTCAGTTTGCAGGCCACGCTCAATCCACTGAGCCGCACCAGCCAGGGCCCTGTGTGGTCTTAGGAAATAATCATTTCTGTTAAAATAAACACATTAAAAGAGGAAATGAGACAGAAATCAAACTATATGAACTAGATCTACACTTTCAATACACATATCTTTTTAAATGTTGAAGAAAAATCATTAAAAGCTATAAAACTTCTCTGAAAATATAAACAGTACGCGCACCAATGCGAAAAGAAGCTCCCTGGGAAGGGGGGTATAAAATACGAGGGGGGCCTGCGGGCAACTCTCTAAACTCGGGGGCAGTAGGAAGGGGTCTGTGCTGGCCGGAGCCGCCCCAACACCCAGGCGCCCCCTTTAAGGGCCGCTTCTCGTGAGACAACATGGACGAGTTTTGACGCGTGCTCCGCACGTCACGGGGCAGGGCCGGCCAGCAGTCTCGTGACGACTGTCAGTAAAAGTGAGCTAATGAATCCGTTAGACTCAGTATGAGAGAGATGTAAACATCTTTTGTGCATTTAAAAACCCGTAAATTTGCCCTGGCTGGTGTAGCTCAGTGGATTGAGCTCAGGCCTGTGAACGACACGATCGCGGTTCGATTCCCAGTCAGGGCACATGCCTGGGTTGCAGGCCAGTTCCCAGCGGGGAACGCATGAGAGGCAACCATATGTTGATATTTCTCTCCCTCTCTCCTTCCCTTCTAAAGATAAATAAATAAAATCTTTAAAATACCCATACATTTAGTGAGGTCACTGAGCCTTCAATACACAAACGTCAAGTGTTTGTCGATACACTAGCATCGGATGGACATTTTTAAATGGTGCTGATCACTGACATCAGCAAAAACGGCAAAGGAAGGAACTCCAAATTCTGCTACTCCAAAAAAGGAAAAAATGTGGACACAGACATGTCAGAATTAACATTTTCCAGACTCTGAAAATTCATCAGACTTGCAGCAACCCAAGGAATGAACACGTACCTACACATGTATGCACACCTGTGTGTGCGTGTGCAGGATATGCATGTATGTGTAAGTACACGTGCAGGTGCGTGCACATGTAAGGGCCGAGCGCAGTGAGAAAAGGCAGCTTTGGGACACACTCTCCCTTATTTCGGCCCGAGCCCTGGCAGCCGTGCTCCCGCCGGGCAGGAGCCCACAGGATGCGAGAGCCGGGCGGCAAACCGACAGCGGCCCAGCGTGCGCACAGCAGCGGCGTCAGCGCCGGGCCAAAGGCGGGCCAGAGCCCACGCGAATCCCCAGGGGGGCGGGCAAGCGAAGCGTGATGCACGCACAGCGGCTGCTGGCCACGCGCCAGAAGAAGGCGGCTCTGACGCCCGCCCCGGCCTGGACGGACACGGACCAGCAGACGGGTGTGACGCAGACGGAGCCTGGCCCGGAGGGCGGGGGTCGCAGGTCCCACTGCCGTGACGCGCACAGACAGCACTGCGAACGGACTCGATGCCACCGACTCTCACATTTAAAGGCAGAGCAAGCGGTACGTTGTATGTTACGGTTATTTTACCACAATAAAAACAGAGAAACCCCCAATTTGATGAAGAGTATCAGTGTGCTCATGCAACAAGCCTAAATTCCAAGCAGGACAGGTGTAAGGAGACTCAGGCCCCCACACTTCAGTACCAAGCACGAAGGAATGGTGCTGAGATGCTGGGTCTCTACGAGCAAAAGGGTCGGGGCCCCACCTCCAACCGCCCGCCAAAATGAACTGGATGGGGCCACACCTCCAAGTAAGAGCAAAACCCATCAAATTCTTCGGAGGAGACAAGTGAGAACCACGCAACCTGGGGCAGGCACAGGTTTTCTAGGCGCAGCACCAGAAGCACGAGCAACGGCAGGAAGAAACAGACGAACCAAACCGCGCCGAACCTGACATCCGCTGTTCTTCAAAGGGCACTGTCCAGACGGCGCAGACCGCCCGCAGAAAGGCGGGAACGATAGCAGACCACGCACCTGATGGCACTTGTATCGCAAGTGCACAAAGAACGCTTCTGTTATTAATAAAAAGACAACCCAGTTTTTAAAGGGACCTGAGCAGACGGTCCCCCAAAGACACACACTGGCTGACACCTGGGGAAGCGCTGCTCAACAGCAGGGTGGCAGGCACGTGCCAACCAACACCACCACCAGATGCCCCCCGACACCCCCCAGGACGGCTACGGTGGCAAAGACGGGCAAAGCTGCTACCCACGAATGTCCTGTGCAGAGAGCAGGCCTCAGGGGAGGCCCGGCCACATGGCTGTGTCCCTGCCAGCCCTCTCTGTGGCCCCGAAGCCAGAATCCAGCACAGAGCTACAACTGGCTTTTGGCATCCTCACTTACATGTGAATTAAACTGAACAAAAATGGAACAGTGAAGAAGATACTCACTATTCTGCAAAGAACTAAAATGTTTCAGATAAAAGCAATGTTTTAGAAACCCACTTGTTGGGGAGGAGAGGAACGCTGAGTCACCTACACACCCCTCCCTGCACAAGGGCCCCCCCACTGCGACAATGAAGGCTGCCCCTGTGCACCACCCACTCCGCCCCCCCTCGAGCAGCTCCCGAGGCTCCAGGGAAACCCACCACAAGACCAGCCTGGCCAGGGGCCTGCCCGCCACCCAGCTGACCATCTACTGAGCGAGGGGGACGGCAGTCTGCACCTGCAGCAGCCGCCGGTGGACCTGACCCTGGGCAGCCCGAACAACAGACCCTTTGCTAGAAGACACGCAGACTCTGCGTGTCTGCGTCTGTAACCTGTCTGCTCACAACAGCCGAGAACTCAGAGCCACTGCCATCATGCCGTCTCATGTCCGGTTTGTTAAAGGCAGGCTAGACAGGCTAGGGTGGAGCCCCGCCAGACGGGACAGAGGGGAGTCTGCCCTGCTTCCTTCCCGCACAGCTGGTGGGGGGGGGCGCCCTCCCTAGGGGCAGAGGCATCCCAGGGCACTGAGGCTGTGGCTGAGGGGCTCGTATGCCCCGCCCACCACAGTCCCACGCAGCCCACTGCGGGGGCTCGGGGACACCCAGTGGCAGCAGGGAGCAAGAGGAGGAACACCTCTGGGACACCCACCCAAGGGCTGATAGCACAGCTCACGAGCCAAAGGGTTTCCCTCCAGAGTCCTCCCCAGACAGCATCCTCCCCCTCCCTCCTTCCTCCCCCTCCCTCCTTCCTCCCCCTCCTCCAGAATCAGCTCAGCCTGTGCAGGCGGCCACGGCACACTCGGCTCCAGAGCCGGGCCGCACCTCCTCTCCTGGGGAACCCTCTGCTCCGCGGCTGGCTGCCTTCGCCGTCGCTGCTGGGCTCTGGAATAGACACGGACATGTGGGTAGAATCTGAACAGTTAACTTTAAAGACAGAACATCCGAGTATCAGACTGTTATCACTGTCATACATCTGAAATTAGGGTGAGACTGCATGTCTACTGTGGTACAAAAATGACTTATTTGTACGTTATTTAAAAACAAATATCAAAGTAGCACTGTCACAAGGTAAATTAGTAAGAAAATATTTTCGTAAGTTAAAATATGAATAATTCTTGAAATAATTTTAATGGAAACATAAAAACATCAGTCAATCCCCTACACAAATCACCTAATATAGCTAAATATTACATGGTAAGTGTATAACTGAGAATCCACTACTTGTCAAAAGCCAGGCACAAGTCAAAAATTAAGACTTTCGAAAAACAATTAAGACTTTCATAAATGTCGATCTTACTAAAAATGGTTTTGGAAATATCTGAACTGTAAGTGGTCTCATACAACCTTCTGTCGATCCTCCTTCTGTAACCTGCCTCCCCAGTAAGCCTGAGATATCCGTTTTCTTAACCACGTGCCAACTCCTTTCGTGCCACCGAGAAGGGTGGGGAGACACGGCTCCTTCGTGTCTAACGGCGTCACCCGGGAACCCGCCCGGGGCCCCGCGCGGGTGAGCCCGAGAGTCACCCAGGAAGCCCACCAAAAGCAAACTCCCGAGGCCCAGCCCCAGAGACGTTTATTTTAAAAGTATAAAGTGATGGCAAGGAGTGAATAATTTTTAATGTAAAACTTACGTTAATAATATATTTTAGTAATGACTTCAAGCTTTCTGGACTATCCCCACAAAGCCACACTTGGGAAATAGAGAGAATTTCAAGAAACCTTTGTGTATGCGACCAGCGCTCCACATGAGACCTTTAGGTCACAGAGAGGACCTCACACGGCACAGCGTGGGTGCCCTCTGTGCAGTCCTGTGCGGAGTAGCGGTCGGCCCGATGACGGACGCCGCTCTCACCACGACCGGCGCAGAGCCTGTCGGCGCGGCAGTCAGCTGACGCCGCCTCCTACAGAGCCCCCTGCCACCAAGGCAGCCAGTCTTCCGAGAAGCGGGGGTTAGTGCTCCGAGGGCAGAATGGACAGGGAATCTTGGAAAGAAGATTAACCCTGAAATAACGACGATGAAAGCTAACACTTACTGCTTTAGAGAAGAACCTATCGATTAATTAGGGGCGTGGCAAGGAGGAGGAGGTCTCACATTATCTCTGGCCTGTTCCCTTCACACAAACACAGTTACTTCACTGTGTGGGAATTAACCGGGCTGCTGGCCCCAGGAGAGCCGGGCAAGGGCCCAGCGATTACGTTAGGAGGGGAGGGGAGGGGGGGGAAGCCCTCTGTGCTACTTCCCAGCCTCATCTGAGTCTTAGAGTATTTAGAAATAAAGTTATCTTTTTAAAAAAGAATTTCTCTAAAGGCATAAAATTTTTTAAAAAGGCATAAAATAAAGCTGAGCACAAACAACACTTAGATAATGATCCCAAGGTTAGTTACAACCTAACTGCATAAAAATAATAGTAGTAACACAGAAGTTAGCATTGTGTCTGGCACAGCTCCAAGTGAGCTACACATGTCACCTTTTTGAATCCTCACAAAAACCTGGTGACCTGGCTGTCACCCTCGTTTCACAAGGGGAGACAGTGTCACACAGAGAAGTCAAGTATGTTTTCAAGGTAAGACAGCCGACGGGACCGGGAGGCTCTGGGGTCCAGCCGGGGCTCTGAGCCCTCCCCGAGGCGGCGGCCCCGCTGGGGGGGGGGGGGGGTGCAGGTGGCAGGGCAGCTGCCCGAAGCCGCCAGTCACCGAGATGACAGGGGTTCAACCTACGGGAGGGCTGTTTAATTTTAGGGGGACTGGGAGCGAGAACAGAAGCGAGTGCCCCCAGGAGAGGAAATGGAGGCCTGGAGGAAAGGTGTCAGCTCACGTGCTGGGAGAAGCTGCTCTCTGAGCCCCGAAGGGCTCCCACGAAGCAGCCCCGGGGGAAGGTCTTGGATACGGGGGATGACCTTGGACCTCAGCTGGTTAAAAAACTAGGAGATCAGGTGAGTGAAAATGGAAAATGAGGTCTGTGTGGTCTGGTTTCACCTGAATGGGGAAGGAGAGAAGGCAGAGGAGCCCGGAGACCGAGGCTGGCGATCTGGAGGCACAGTCGTTCCACACCTAAAACCCCCCTAATTCCAAAGGGTGTCAGATCCAAGCTCACACACATCATGAAAACAGGCGGCGTTCACCGTGCACCGTGACTGGGCCTGGCTGAGTGCCCTTTCCCACGCGTCCCCGGTCAGTCTGCTCTGCACGCACAGCCTCCGCTCTCCGGGTGGGAACCGGGGCTCTGAGGAAGGGAGCCCCGCTCCAGGCCACTCCGCTGGCAGGCTGCGCAGCAGGACGCGGCAGGAGTCGGGGGCTCGCAGTGCACTGCGTTACCAAGGGTCCTGTCCACAGTGACAGAGGCAGGAGGCGGCAGAACCACCAGGGCCCAGGCCGCCGCCACCTCGACTGGGCCAGGTTCTCCCTGGAAGGCGCTGCCCAGCCCCGAAGGCCGCTTCTGGACCGGCTCCCGTCACTCCATCTTCCCTGCACCCCTCCCTCCAGGCCGGGGTCAGCACCTCGGACGGAGGTGCCTTTGGCTTCAGCGGGGATCTACGTGCTCCCCCCTCTTTCAACTGTTGTGACTTCATGTGATTCTGAGTAGGCACCTGCATGTCCCAAACCATATTTATATTTGAAAGCGCAATTTTCGTTTTTGACTTGCTGTTTCTGATACCACCTTTTTCTTAAGGCAGCACAGTGTTCAAAAAGTGCCTGCCACAGACCCGCCGAGGCTGGTGGTGACAGGCCCCGTCAGGATGCCCGAATTCTTGGTGACGGCTCTGGCGACAGACAGCTGCTCCCCAACCCGGGTGTAAGTACACTGGAGTCGGGACAGACCAACGCGCCTAATCTCAGCTGCACTTCAGTGCGCTCTGCAGACACTTAGCCTCACGATCGCCCCGAAAACCGCCGGCTCACCTCTCCAGAAGCCACAGCTGTCGCCCTCTTCCAGCCTGTTACCTGAGAAACCTGTACAAAATACAAAGTTAAACTCGCAAAATTTCTGGACACGACAGCTGTCTTACCTCTGCGGCATGAAACATCAAGCGTCCAGAGACTCCCCGTTACGCTGCCCCTTTGGAACAGGGTATGCCACACCCAACTCTCCATTTACACACCCAGGCAGCACTCGCACCGGCCGCACTAGTCTCCGCCTCGTGTCAGTCTGCGAGGGCCACGCGTCGGCCACGGCTGCGCCACCTCCTAGGCCACGCGCCACCTCCTAGGCCACACACCCCTCTGCACGCACACCAGCAAAACGAGGGTGGACGTCAGCATCAAAGTATCGCAACTTTTAAAGTGTACCAATTAACTCGTAATTTCTTCATCTGCCAGAGGAGAGTGCAACTACATTATAATCCAATATTCGGTAGTTTTCCCTTCTTGGTAACAAGAAAATTCTGCTGACTTATATCTTGTTTATAAAAAATACCTTTTGGAGCCCTGGCTGGGTGGCTCCTTTGGCTGGCACACTGTCCCATACAATGGGTTCGAGCCCCAGTCAGGGCACACACCCAGGCTGCTAGTTCGATCCCCGGTTGGGGCGCATAAGGGAGGCAGTGAGCAGTGTCGCCTCCTCACGCGGCTGCTGCTTTCCCTCCCCCTCCCCCTCGGGCTCCCTTTCTCTCTCGAATCAACAAAAACTTGTCCTCAGGTCAGGGTTAAATAAAATAATTTTTAAAAATGTTAACCTTTCACCAAGTTCTGCTTTCAATTTTCTTATTTAATAAAAACCTGTGTCTAGATTTATGCATCTGTGGAACATATAGACATGTTTCTAAAATTCCGTTTAAAACCATCCATCAGTAATAAATACTTTTATAACACTTTTAAATGCTGAGTCTTAAGCATCTTTAGTGCAAAGATATTCAAGAAATAACGTGCTTTAAAATTGTCAAGATAGTGCCTGTCAGTGAGTATTTAATCTAAATTATAAAACATTATAGTTTCTGTAATTTGGAGACTAATCAATGACAAATGCTAAATGTATATGGAAAATGTATACATATTAAATCACTTAACATGTCAGGTTCAACCAGAATCTCACACCCCTTCCAGCATCAAACTCCACGGAAATTACACACACGACTACCACACAGAACTAAGGACCCTACAGCGGGGGTCCCCAAGCCCTCCCCCTCCCCCCACGAAGACTGAGGCCAGTCCACAGCCTGTTAGGAGGAGCCGGGCCGCACCGCAGGAGGGGGTGGCAGGCCAGCCAGCGAAGCTTCCCTGGAATTACCTCGAGCTCCGCCTTCTGTCCCCTCCAACTGCCCCATCCAAGGAAAATCATCTTCCACAAAAAATGGTCTCTGGGGCCAGAAAGGCTGGGGACCACTGCCCTACAGCCTTGACACGTGGGGCGGGGACAGAGCAAGTTTCTCCTTGGACAGACACATCATTTCAAAGTCAAGACGACCCCTTCAGAAGGACAGCATCACCAGGAACCTAGGTTCTTAGTTACTCGCCCCCTGAACTACGGGCAACCTCGAGGCTGCTTCTGGAAGGCCTGCTGCTACTGCCCCTTTCCTTCCACTCTCCCGGCCCCAGAAGAGTCACACACTGGGTTGCCAAAGTGCCTGGGAAAGTCTTCCACCTACACCTTACTGGTCTTGAACTTAAACTCTACTTTTGACCTACAGTTTTTAAAGGTTGTAGGGGAAACGCTTTATTTCAAAGCTCTAAATGGGTCTTTGCTCAACTCAAGATGGAGATGGAAACTCAAGTTCACCGTGAGAGCTGACCTGGTCTCTTATCTGGGAGGGGTGGGGTCTTGGGGACAGGGACAGAACGGGGTTCGCCTGTGGGCAGTCGGAGTGGAGACAGGCTGTGCAAAGCTCCACAGAGCAGCAGGCACACCCGGCGGCAGGGACTGCTGCTCGGACACGGCTGGCAAAGCCAGGGGTGCCGGGACCCCACGAGTTCCTGGGACCGGGCGCACTTTCTTCGTGTGTAATGGGGGTGTAGGAACTCCACGACCGGACAAGGTGTGGTCACCCAAGTTCATGGTAAGACATCACAAGCAGGTTACCTCTGCTCCCAAAGCCCTTGCCAACTCCAAAGCCGCCTGCTGCAGAGGGCGCCTCCCTTTTACTGCACTCGCTGGCATCTGGAAGAGTTCAGACAGAGTTAACGTTCAACACGGAGCAGTACTCATGTCCTAAAACTAGGCACTCAAAGACTCGCAGGGACTCTCAAGGGCAAAGGGAGTAGCACAGAAATTTGTAAAGAAGTGGTTAACACACCCCAACTCCTTTCTAAAAAAAAGCCCCAGAACCACGGCGCCGGGGCGGTAACAGACAGACCACTGAGGCACAGCTCTAGACGAGCTGTGGCCGTCATCAGAGAACTCGGCTCCGTTTTCCTGTGTTCATCCTCACCGAGAGCTATTTGCCTTCCGCTTCTGATGCAAGCCACGGCCCCCGAACACCTCCCACTCTCCAGTGTCCCTTGTGTCCCTCGGTCGTCCCGTGTCCCTTACGCTGCCTTCTAGCACTGAAGTCGCCCTCATCTCTCTGCTTCTAAACTGAAAGCAGGATGGGACCCTGGGTTGCAGAGACAAGCTGAGAGCCACTGCCCTTCGAGTCCCCTCCTGCCACAGACGTCCCCACAGTGGCCTTCCTCACTCCACCTGCACCACGCCAAACATCACCCTTCCCACAGCGCAGGCTCCTGTGTCTGCAGCCCTTTCAAACTGCGCTTCCTGGGCGTGCCCCACCTCCTGCGTCTCCTCCAATGCTCCCCACGTGCCCACAGCCTCGCTCAGAGGCCCCCCTGCTGGGGAGTCCCCTGGGTCCTTCGCCCTGAGCGACCCTACCCACACTCCCAACGCCCCGTCTGCAGTAACACTTCTTTCCATGTGTTTCTGTCCCACTGCACTAAGAACTCTGAGGGCAGATTGCTATGGCACGCAGCAGGGTTATTTAAAACAAAAAAACGGTAACAGACGTCCAAACCGGCGAAGGCGCCACTTTAAACTGCCTCTGGGACACAGTAAGGCCCTGCTTTGTGCCCCCCCACCCCCCGTAAACTGCCTTGCTATCTCTGTGACACCCCAACATCGGGCAGAGGGCTCTATGGAACCCCAGAGCCCCCTGTGAAACTGGGCCTGAGCAACTAACTCCCGGAGCTTTCGCCCGGTTCTGAAGGTGCGATAAGTAAACATAAGTACATATGTATACTTAAAAAATAAGTAATTTCCATTAATAGCAGGAACATGTCAAAATATAAAATTCACATTTGTGTTAACTATATCTAAACAAGAAATTAAGTTTTCCAAATATCAAATGAAATATCACCCACACACACCAACCTTTAGCTTCCAAAGAATAACATTATCTAGAAATATCAATAGTTTTTCAAAGGATAATATAAATTCAATAGTAAGTTACGTATATTTAAGATCACTAATTAGCCCTAGCTTATAATAGTCCATAAAAGATAAATGGTCAAATATATTTTAAAATAAATTTGAGATTCTAATAATATTTTATTGCACTATAAGAACAGCGCAATAAAATAGCATGGAATATTTTTGGCACTTTATGATCAAATCTAAAGACAGACTCCTGGAAGGTCCTTGGCTACATCATCATCTGTTGGATCGAGTTGTGGCCGCTCTGAACGCAACAACATAAAATTCCAAGCTCGGGAAAGTAACCTCTTGTCACAATACTCATGAGACAACAGAAGTGCTTCCCATGCGCCCTCTTGTTGAGAAGTAGCAAACCTAAGGAAGAGGCCCGTCCACCCCACCTCCGAAGCTCTGGTGACCTACCAGTGCCAACTGCTGGGAATCGATCATCATAGTACACGCATTAAGAGGTAGCTCTCTCTTTAACTATCTTTAATCGGTCCATCTGATCAATTAAACTATTTCTGGTGCTACGCCCCCAAAAGCATGACAGCAGAAAGAACAATGGCATTTGAAAAAATGATGAGCTGATTATCCTGACAAAACCAACAGTGCACGGAGTGCCCCCGCCCCCACCCCCGCCCCCAGCCCTGCTATGCGGCTGCGCAGACCAAGGACAGACAGGGCTACTTACCTCTGTTTCCCCAACTCCGCCCAGAGGCGAATCCCCTCGTCATGAAATGGTCTCTCTGAGAAGGTCCCGCGTCCAAGTCTAAAGCGAACGACACGTGCAGGAGTCAGACCCACAGGTGTTGGTGGCAGGCGGACCCCGTGTCGCCCCCTTTCGGTGTGCAGACCGCTCGGTGGAGGGGCTGCGTCCAGCAGCAAGGAGGGCGGCTTATACAGAAGAACGGGTCGTCCCCCAAGCAAAACGAAAGGTGGCTAAATGTCACTCACAAGCGAAGACACTGGACGACAGAAGGCGGAGTGCGCTCCCACGGAACACGGGGTCGGGGGAGACCAGTAGACGACAGCACGGAGCCGCAACCCCGCCAATCGTGGTCCGCATTAGAAACACGTGTCTGAGAGTGGGCTGCGCAGACTCCCCTCCGCGCGCACGCGGGAGCACAGACTCACAGAGACGTCTCTGCAAGTGTCGGTCACGTGAGCAACAGTGAGCAGAGCGGCTGGAAGGAGCCCGGAGCGGCACGCCTCCAGCAGCGAGGGGCTGAGCGCCCTGGCAGCAGGGGGCGTGCTCGCGAACACCCACCATGTCCATGGGCACTCGAGGACACACTGTTACACAAAACCAAGCTTGTTTAAAATCCCCTCACACTCAGAAAGGTACTTTTAAAACACTTTTATGTGGCCCAGCTCACAGAAAAAAAAACTCATAATGGAACCTTAAAACTACTTAAAAGTCTATGGTAAAAATGTTACTTATCAGCACCTACATTTTTATACTCCAAAATAAGGACTCAAAATTAACGAGCTAAACAGTCATCCCAACTAGAAAGAATGTTACAAAAAAAAAAACAACCCAAAATCACACAAAAGGAGAAAAAAAGGGCAATAATCAATAAAACACACAACAGTGTGATTCAACAAAGCCAAAGCGAGTCCTTCAGAGAAACCCAGGGGAAACCCGCAGGGGGACCAAGCCCAGAAGACTGGCGGGAGGGGAGGGGGAAAGGCACAAACGAGTGGCGTTGGTGATAAAAGGGAAAAGGCAGGGACCTCGACGCGAGTGCAGCTGCTGTTCAAGGAGCACGAAGTTCCAGCTGTGCAGGTGGAAAGCTCCAGAATCTGCAGTGCAGTGGTGTGCCCCCACCTGAAGACGACACAGCGCTGCGCACTGGGGCGGTGGTTGAGCGGATACGCCCCGTGTTATGTGCTTTGTAGCACAATAAAAAACTGCCACGGACAACTTTATAGTCCTAAATTTAAAACTTACAAGTTCTGAGAACATTAACTCACCAAAACTGACTCAGGAAGCAATAAAAATCAAATTGTCCCACAGAAATTAAATCAGTACTTAAATCTATCCATCATGCCTGATACAGTTTTACAGGTGAGTTCTACCAAACTCTCAGAGAACAAATCAGTCCAACCCTGCCCTGGCTGGTGTGGCTCAGTGGATTGAGCACCGGCCTGCAAACCAAAGGGTCGTTGGTTCAATTCCCAGTCAGGGAATATGCCTGGGTTGTGGGCCGGGTCCTAAGTAGGGGACATGCAAGAGGTAACCACACTTTTTTCTCCTCTCTTTCTCCTTCCCTTCCCCTGTCTAAAACTAAAAATAAAATCTCTTAAAAGAAAAACTAACTATATCCATAGATAAAAGTTTATGATATAATTCAGCACCATTCATTATTTAAAAGCATCATTATTAAAAGCAAGTTAGGAAAAGGAGGGATATTCACAGCAGTGTGATTCTAAATGAACTACAGCAGTTGGCAACACGAGTAACCCTTAGAGACAACACGGAGAAGTTCGAATGGCAGAACAGAGACCCCCTACCCACGGCTTCCCCGTCGACGGTCTCCGCGACCTCCGGTCAGCTGTGATCTGAAACTGGGAGCCGGAACATCCCAGGAATAAGCCACTCCTGAGGTTGCAGTTCCGTGCCATTCTGACCACCACGGTGGACTCTCTCGGCACCCACCCTTACCCCACAGGACGGGGGTCCCCCTCTGTCCAAAGTGTCCCCAGACGCTCCCTGCCCGCTGGTCCCTGAGCAGCCGTCTCGGTTGTCAGGCTGTCTGTCCAGCCATGGCAGCACTTGGGTCCAAGTGACCCTGACTTGACTCCACGACAGCCAACAGGCCAGAGCAGTGACGCTGGCGATGCCGATGTGCCCGAGAGGGACGTAAAGTGCTTCCTGTGAGTGACAGGCGAGTCCAGGACGAGGAGAAGTTTTGGGGAGAGAGACCACGGCCACCTAACTTGATTACAGTCTATTGTTATAAGTGTTCTATCTCATTATTAATTACTGTTGTTAATCTCTTACTGTGCCTAACTCAGACATGAAACTTTATTACAGGCACGTACAGGAAAAAGCAGCGTGTACAGGGTGCGGTACCCTCTGTGGCTTCAGGCATCCACTGGGGGTCCTGGAACACGTCTCCCGGGGACGAGGGGAAACGACTGCATAACTCAGAACAGCCGAGACCCTGCACACAGACATCATCAAACGCCGGCAAGGACACGGAGCCCCAGAAACGTCGTCGCTGGTGAGGATGCGAGACGGTGCAGGCACTGGGGGGCCGTCTGGCTGTTTCCACAGAACTAGCCGGTCTCACCGTACAAGCCAGCAAACGAAGGAACAGACCAAAACACCAGAAAAACAGCTAAACAAAATGAGACAAGCAAACTACAACATGCAGAGTTCAAAACACTCTTTATAAGGAAGCTCAGTGAACTCAGTGAGAACTTCAACAGCATAAAAAAGGGCATGGAAACCATAAAAAATAACCAGTCAGAAATTAAGGATATAGCCCTGGCTGGTGTAGCTCGGTGGACTGAGCACCAGACTGCAAATCAAGGGTTGTCGGTTCGATTCCCAGTCAGGGTACATGCCTGGGTTGTGGGTAAGGTCCCCAGCAGGGTGTGCTCAAGAGGCAACCACACATTGATGTTTTTCTCTCTCTTTCTCTTCTTCTCTAAAAATAAATAAAATATATATTTTTTTAAATTAAGGATATCTAATGAAAATAAAAAACAACTTAGAGGGAATCAACAGTAGAGTGGATAGGATAAAGCCATGAATCAAAATAGCAATCTAGAACACAAGGAAGCAAAAAAAACTACCAATCAGAACAGCAAGAGAAAAAAAGCAGCCAAAAAAAAACGAGGATAGTGTAAGAAGTCTCTGGGACCATTTCAAGCATACAAATTTGCATCATGAAGGTTCCAGAAGAAGAAAAGAGAAAGCAAGGAATTATAAACCTATTTAAAAAAATAATGAAAGAAAACTTCCCTAAGTTGGTGAAGGAAACATACATACAAGTCCAAGGAGTGCAGAGAGTCCCAATCAAGATGGATACAAAGAGGTACAACCCCAGGCACATCAAAATTTAAATGCCAAAGGTTAAAGGTAAAGAGAGAGTCTTAAAAGCAGCATGAGAAAAGCAATTAATTACCTACAGGGGAGCTCCCATAAGGCTGTCAGCTGCTTTCACAAAAGAAACTTTGCAGGCTAGAAGGGACTGGCAAGAAGTATTCAAAGCGATGAAAAGCAGGGACCTACAGCCAAGATTGCTCTACCCAGCAAAGCTGTCATTTAGAATGGAAGGGCAGATAAAGAGCTTCTCAGACAAGCAAGAAAAAGCTAAAGGAGTTCATCACCACCAAGCCCTTATTATATGAAATGTTAAAGGTTCTTCTTTATGAAGATCAAAACTATGAACAGTAAAATGACAAGATAGATATCAATAGTTGAGTCTTAAAAACAGAACACAAACAGAATCATGGACACAGAGAACATTTTGTGGTTGCCAGACAGAAGGTGGGTTGGGGGATGGGTATAAAAGGTGACGGGATTAAGAAGTACAAATAGGCAGTTACAGAACAGCTATGGAGATATACAGTATGGTATAGGAATTACAGTAGCCAAAGGACACACACGTATGACTCATGGACACGAACAACACTGTGGGGATGGCCCGAGGGAGTGAGGGAGCTGAGTGGAGGGTGGCACAGGAAGAAAAACTGGGACAACTGTAATAGCATAACCAATAAAGTATAATTTTTCAAAAAAAACAAGGCTGAATAATAAAGGCAATGTAACCATCACATATTAACGGCGTGGCCCAAATGGGACTCCTAAGCACACAGACTTACACGCATACAGAGTGATAACTGTTGGAGTGGGAAGGAAAGACGCGCACATGGGCGTGCCAGGGGGGAGGGCGAAAGCTCACGCTCCGCACTGGAAGTCCGGCGAGGAGAGCGAGGGCCAGGTGGAGTCCATGATGAGCTGCCTTGTTACTACTTCACATCGGAAACCCAGAGAATGGGAACTCTTTGTACCTGGGACAGAGTCAGATTACCCCTGATGACTCGGACGGTTCCTGACCGTCATCGAGTAAAAGCAAGACACAGCGTCCCAGCGATCCGTTTCTGTGAAACCCACAGTGAAGAGGAAAACGCCTGAACGTAACTCTGAGATCACAAAGAGGGTACAGAAGATCGGAGCAGGGGCGCGAAGGGAACGCAGGGCAGTGCGTGCCATGAAAGGTGCGTGTGCGTGTGGACGGCAATGCCAGTAGCACACAGCTGTGCAGGGGGAGACACATGCAGAGATCCAGGCGGGGCAGCAGACTGTGTGTGGGGCGAAACCTGGGGGCCAGGACTCAGAGTATTGTATTTCTTTCCACCTCTGTATTTTTAAGTTTTGGGAGGTTTTTGTTTTTTGGGGGGTTGCATGAGGATATTAGGTATTGGTTTAGTAGACATCAATTGGCCTAGCGTGTATCTCTGTAATTAAGAAAATGTGTTTGATCGAAAGAGCTACGAAAGTGTCCGCTCTCCAGGAGAAGAGAAGCCGCAGTCCACGTTTCTCTTCGCCCGATTTCTTGTCCTCTGTCTGAACACTGGGGACACGGTGCTGCAGAAGGTCCTGGTTTTTAGCTGGTGACTCTTTCAATCTAGCTTCTTGAAGATTTCACCACAAAACAATGTTCGGCTTTGATAGTCAAAAGAAGTAAACTTCCACCCCTTTACAAAAATCACTTCTCTCTGACACCTGGAGAACGAGGCTCTTCCCGACCACACCGTGACCTCTGCCTGCTTGCCCTTGGAGTACCGTAAGCATGCACGCGTACACGCGTGGGTGCACAGGTGGGTTGGTGCACCCACGGTTGGTGCACGCATGGTTGGTACTTCAGAGGCAGTCAGCCTTCCGCGGTCCCAGCAGCAACCCCCCCCCCCCACCCCAGTGTCCCGCACAGAACCATGGTGGCGAACGCAGACGGACGTGAGAGCACTGCTCTCCACTTCCAGCCACCACAGGAAGGCCGTCTGCTCCGACCCAGGGGCTGCAGCCCCCACACCGCCCCCCCACCCCAACACAGGCTTCCCCGCTGCAGGGTGGACGGCCCAGCCCTCCCCCCCCACCTCTGATGAGGGGGGTGGCGGACTCCCTGGCGCCCCCAGCCCTATCCCTTGCTCCGGTTACTCAGTTCACAGAAGGCAGCCTGCAGGCTGGGGGGAGTCAGTGTTTCATGGGTATGAAACGTCAGCGGGGCAAGATGAGACGGGTCCAGGGGTGAATGGCGGACACGGCCGCCCAGCCACGTGGGCGCGCGCGTCTCCGGCGCGGCTGGGAGCCCGCAGATCCAGAGGGCCAGCCGCACACACTGCTCCACGCTGCTTCACACGAGGGCCCGAGCGCCTGTGGCCTCTGACCACGCAGGGGCAGTGCTCCCAACTCCCGCCTTGATCGAGAGTCAGCTGGACTTAATGCCACTGGCCTGTACTCTTTTAAAAAATGGTTCAAGTGGTCAGCTTTGTTACAATTTTTAATGCAGTAGAAATAGCATTTCGGGCTGCTTTGGACTTCAACAAAATGCAAGGCCACCGGCATGGGGGTACCCTCTGACCAGAGCCCTGTCGCTCCCACCCATCTCGCCATCCTCGTGGACACCAAACACACTCAGTCAGCCAGCAGGACAGGCGGCGGGGGCACCGCAGCTGCCTCCCCCACCATGTGCCTCCTGCCTCCTGGGTCCGTCCCCACGCCCAGTGTCAGGCACCAGAGACTCTGCTGGTGCCCCGCAGGGACGGCAGGTTTGGCACAGACAGTGGCTACCCGGATAGGTCACCGCCACTGCGTCTGCCCCACCCCCGAAGTCCAAAGGCCGGCCCTCTCATCAGGACCCTGGTGGCCTGAGAGCCGAGCGCGTGGCATCCAGGCTGGGCAAAGGCCTCAGGCCAACAACCCTACCACCAAACAAAGCCACCCAGGGCGCTGGGCGCTCTCCCCTCTCCCTTCTCTAACGGAAGCACCCCTATCCCAAACTCTCCGAGAAAGGCGGGTTCTCTCTAGGACATTTAAAACACCCTCCAGGATGTCCACACAGCAGCTCTTGTTCACGCAACGAAGCCCTCTGCCTGGTCGGGCTCCGCCTTCCGCCCTGACACGCACCTGATGACGAGACTGGGCTCCTGTGGAAAGTGTCCCCGTTTGCTCCAGAAGAACACCTGTCCTGTAAGGAGGAAGAGAAGACGAGTTTTCTACCTGGAATAACGAGACTGTCGTCTACTTCACAGACACTAGCAAACCTTAATCAGTGGGCTTCGTTCAGAACAAAATGACGATGGACTGTAAGATCCCCTGGGTCACTGTGGGACGTTCCTTTATCAACTGCCCCAAAGTCTTCACACCAGCTTCGCGTGGAGAGCATCTTAACACACCCCTTAGCACAGAGGTCGGCAGACTGCGGCGGTGAGCCAAGGCTGGAGGGCCTCCAGTTCCTGGGCGGGAAGCTGGCTGGGACACTGACGCCCACCCTCTCCACCTGGGCGCGTCTGCTGCTGCTTTCGCTCTAGTCACAAAGCTGCGACACAGGCTGGAGGGTCTGCGAAGCCTACAGGACTCACTGTCCAGCTTTTATGGAAGGACTTTGCTGACCCCTGAAGTGGTGGCTTAGCCACCGTGAACTTGAGAAGTGTAACCAAACACTATGCTGTAAGCAAACACTGACCGAGGGACACACAGACACAGCGATGCCTGTAAACGCCCTGCCCAGCTTACGAGGCACGGTGCACACGCCCACGGGTCCACACGGGCAGGCGGAGAGCAGTGCAGAGCAGCGCAGAGCAGCGCAGAGCGGCTCCCACAGCTCAGGGCCGAGGCCTCTGCCTGCGAGGCTCCCCTCGCGTGTCTATGCAGTGAGACAAACGGGTGTGCTCCAGCCGGGACAAAGGACCCACTCCCAAGGGACCACCCTTCTGCCTCGGGGAGCCTCCTGGAGAACGCAGCCGCGGCCTCCTCTGGCAGGCGCTTCCCGAGGGAGCTGTGCTCTGCACTGCCGCAGGTGGTAGCCGGAATCAGCGTGTCTACACGGGGTGCAGGGCTCGCCTCCACGGCACCCCCTCCAGCACAAACCCAGGAAGAGCACCACGGCAGGTGGCCTCGGGTGAGTTTCTGAAACGTCTTTCGCAGGAGACACTAAGTGGCGTTCGCGAAGCTAGAGCGTCTTCCGGTCATTTTCCTAGGAAGAGAAAGGCACCCTCGCCTTCGATATTGGTGGGCGCTGGGCACAGGAGAGAGTGACAGACATCAGAACCAACCAGTGACCCACTTCTCCCTCCTCAAAGGGAAGCCCCAGAGGCCTCTTCTCCTCTGCAGGCCCAGAGCAGTCCCGCGTGAAGAGAGCACCAGAGAAGGCTGGCGCTGTGACGGCTGCAGAGCCGACAGAGGAAGTGAACGACTCTGGCTTAAAGGACTGGAAACCTGGCATCCGATGACCTTCAGGCTTGGAATTTAGTCTCCCATGTTCACGGAACCTACCAATTTCAAGGCAAATTTTGAAACATCAAAAAATTCCTTCACTATAATCAGTTCAGCGTGAAGTTCTTAACCCTTTTCATCACCTTAGAAAGAACTGACACCCTATTCCCCTCCAGCTACCGCCCCCTTCTCCAGCCCTCCCGGCCCAAGTCTAGCCCCCACCCTTCCTCTGCACAGAAAAATGGGCAACCCGGAAATGAGGGATGGGGCAGCACCCCGACTGGCACCCCGCTTGGTCCCACCCGCCCCTGGCCACCCACTCTGCAGACCCCTCAGGCTCCTCACTGGCCTCTGACGCCGGACCGCCCAGGCTCACAGCTCAGCCATCCAAGGTGCTCCTCTGTCGGGCTTTACTCTACCCAATCCCGTGCCTTCAAGTCCCACTAACACTTTACAGAAAATGCCTGAATTTGTGTCCGCAGTCAGATTCCTCTCCTAAGAACAGCTCCGCAGGCCCTGCGGACTGGCCTCCTTCCTGACGTGGGCTCGCACCGGCACTGCACCCGAACACAACACAGAGACGTCCTGCGCCGCCCTCCCCCAACCTTGTGTCCCCTGTGGAGTCCCTCCCAGGGAACGGTGCCGGCACCCGCCTGATCGCTGGAACTGGAAAACCAAGCCAGCACCCCGGAGTCCTCTTCCTCCCACGTCCGCCTTCGTGCCCACAGCTCCGCCAGGACCCCCCTGCCCCGCCGCTCGCCACTTCCCTTCCCTTCTCGCCTTCCTGTTCCACCTGCCTGGTCTCCCTGGGCGTTAGCCAGTGAGCGGCTGGAGGCTGAGCTAGGGCCCCCGCAGAGGCGAAGCCCTATCTGGACAAAGTCCTCGCACATGGAATAGAAGACTGGGGGTCTCCTGGGTGGGCTTCCCGACCTCACAAGTGTCCTGGTGAGAGGAAGGCAGAGGGTGTCCGCGGGAACACAGAGGGGGCCGTGAACATCTGTGCCGAACACAGACGACAGCAACAGAGCAGCCACAGAAGTGAGGGGCAGCTGCCGCCCCCGAGCTGCAGGGACACGGATTCGCTCGGGAGGCCTCCAGAAGGAGCACAGCCCTGCGCACACCTGCACCCGCTGCTGCGAGCCGCCCACACTGCAGTCACTCGTCGCAGTGGCCCTGGGACCCTGGGCCTGTGCCCTCCGCGGGGCCTCTGCATGGGGCATCCTGTTGTCCCAGAGAAAGGAATCCTCTCCACCCAACTGCAGTTCGACCACCGCTGTCTGTCTGTCTGTGCGTGCCTCTCTCTCTCATACACACACGTTTTCCTCAATTTTTTTCATAGCATGTCTCAGTATTGATAATTATTTGGCTCTCGAATGTACCTGCCCCTGCCTGTAGGACACGGCGCCCGAGCGAGCCCCTCGCCCGCTGCGCTCAGCACCACCCCCCACGCCAGGCGGGCCACGGGCCTTCTCTTCAGGTCACTCATGGACACTTCTCTGTCAACCACGTGCAGCCTTGTAAGGCGTCCAAATGAACCAATTTAGAAATTCAAAGTGTGTACACGAAAGAGCATATGTAACGACAAGCAGTCCTCGCACGCAGCTGCAAATCATCTATTTGTTATGATAAACAGATTTCTTTTCCCTTGTAAGTACTCAATTATTTTCCATTATGGAATACCATAGCTTTTTTAAGTCTTTATCTTTTCCAAGCAAATGAGTGCTTCTCTTCACACACCGAGTTGCTTTTCTTTTTAAACACAGCAGGTCTGCTCCTCAAACAAACTTTTAGCTGCACAAAGTATGAACCGTGAAGATGCCACCCCCCGCGCAGCTGAAGGTCCAGTGCCCACAGCCCCGCGTGGGCCTCTGCAGACACCACTTGTGTTTTAGGTCCAGAAGCCCCAGGGAGGCATCGGAGCCTCACACCAGTTTTCGCTGAGTCCCAGGCCCCGCATCGAAGAGCTGGGGGAGCCTGTCCAAACACACATGGACGGGTCGCGCCTGACAGCGTGCCCCACACGTGTGAATTCTGAACAAATACCGAACACAGCTCTCCTCCCTTAGTCTCACACAAATTAAAGTCCCACGGTGCAGACAATGCCGCCCTCCAACCCTGCTTCCGACTCGTCGGTCCGGGCAACACAGTCTGTTCACGCACCAGGTGACGTGAGGCCCCTCCTCCCACCTCTCCATCCGCTGCCTGGTGCCCTTAACGCCACTCCACAGGCACGGGCAGAGCCGGGCCACTCTGAGCCTCGGGTGTCGCTCATAGACCTGAAGTTCCAGGGGGCTATCAGGTCCCACGGGAAGAGCAAAGCACCTTGAAATTTAGGAGTAACCAGCAAAACCCAGAGATAAATGTGACTGCTGCAAGAGCTTATAATCCAGGCCCTAATTTCTGTGCAAAAGCATTTTCCAACTAAAAGCAATTTCCCCAAACAAAAATATGCAGCGATCAAAACTCCTGCTGAGGTCACCAACCACAGGCTTCGGCGGAACCCACTGCAAGTGCAGGCGGAGGTGGGTGGAGAAGCAGAGAGAGAGCCGAAGGCTCGGCTCCACCTTCTCCAGGGGCCAGCCAGTCTGGTCCCCGGATCAGATTCTGCTGTCTCGTCTCTGTCCACCCTCCTTCAAAAGTGCTCCCTTTTCGCTCTCTCTGGACCAGCTCCACCGGCCTCTCCACCAGCCCTTTAGCCTCCTTGGGGCCTGTGGCCACTCTGCCCTCGCCCCCTCTGTTAGGACTCAAGGAGGAACTCATTGTCCATCACCCACTACTCGGCACAAGTGGTCTTCCACGCCCTCCATGATGGGAGACACTACTCTCCCGTACCCCACTGACGACTAGACTCAGAAACTGCTAGAAACCTTCCCCAGGCTCCAGCACTTCCACTTCCTTGGTCTTCTGACTCAGTGATGTCCAGGGACCACGTTTTTTCCTGCTACTTCAGAACCACAGCATTGTTGTGAACAAAGAAGACGCAAACTTGCTTATCTCGACAATTATTACAAACTTTGCTTGTGGACGGACCAATTCTTTCAAGCTATTTCCACTTTAATCATGAGAGTACATGCCTGCTGAGAGGTGCCACAGGGAAGGTCCCAAGGTCAGAGAGACGTGACCCCTGCATGGTCCCCTAACAGGAGGCACTGCAGCCAGGAAGCAGGCCCCCCTGCTCCACCTGCCACACCCGTGCACCCGAGCTCACCCCAGCAAGTGCCTGCAGGCCAGCGCCTGCGTGCCGAGTGGTCTGCCCTGCACACTCGTTAGATTATCAGATGTGCCCCCACCTCACACCTTTCACTGCGTCCTCAGGTGGCACCCTCGCCCCAAAATCTAGAACCAGCCCGCACCAGCTAACAGCTGCCACAAGAGCAGTGTCCAATCATTCAAAATGATGTGGTCATGTGTCAACATTAAGTCTCCCAGTAAAACCCAGAGGAGCACTCAGAAAAGGCTGATCACAGATATGAAGGTGATGTCAATCCAAGGGGGTCTCAGAGCTGCTGCAATTTTAACAAAAGGGAATGCCATCAGAAAAAAAAAATCAAAACTATGCCTCTGAAACAAACTAGGCTGAATAAAAGACCTCCAATTTCCCCTACATAAAAATGTCATTTGAAAAAGTCACAGATTCATCCCTAGCTTTAGCCCTTTTTATTCGACCAGAGCAGACAAAAAAGCTGTTAACTGCACCACGTTCCTCCAAGTCAAACAGGCCAAAACCCAGCACCAGGAGTCACATCTGCAGACAGATGGAGAAATTTTCGACAAATTAGACCTCCACAAATATGTATAAAAAATCACAAGGTACTTTTGGCTTTCGGCTCAGAGGAGGCGAAGGTGCAACTTTCTTCGGTCATCCTGAACCCGGGTTCATGCGACACCAGCTGCCTCCACCGTGCCTCCGAAGTTCGACCCCAACGAGATCAAAGTCGTTGACCTGAGGTGCACCAGCGGAGAAGTCGGTGCCACGTCCACCCTGGCCCCCAAGATCAGCCCCCTGGGCTGGTCTCCAAAAAAGGTTGGTGACGACATTGCCAAAGCAACCGGTGACTGGAAGGGTCTGAGGATGACAGTGAAACTGACCGTTCAGAACAGACAGGCCCAGGGGGAGGTGGTGCCTCTGCCTCTGCCCTGGTCGTCGACGCCCTCAAAGAACCACCAAGAGACAGAAAGAAGCAGAAAAACATCAAGCACAGTGGAAACATCCGCTTTGATGAGCTCGTCAGCATCGCCTGACAGATGCAGCACCATCTCTGGGTCAAGAACACTCTGGAACCACTAAAGAGATCCTGGGGACGGCCCAGGCTGTGGGCTGCAAGGCTGACGGCCGCCACCCTCATGACATCATAGATGACGTCAACAGCGGTGCAGTGGAGTGCCCGGCTAGTTAAGAACTACAAAGGAAAATATTTCAATTAAAGATCACTTAACAATCAAAAAAAAATCACAAGGTAGATTTGTTAACAGAAGTTATATTCAAGTGAGTATTCCCAATATCATGGAATGAGGTAGGTTTAGTGAATAAATAGCACAAAGTTCTACGAAGGTACAGTTGAAAGATATGAGTCAGCTGTACTGAATCTCAGACACCTCGTGCAATAAACATGCGTGACACACGAGTACAGTGTACTATTTGGAGAACACATGACACAAAATTTTAGATAAACAAAAAATGAAAATCAGACAGCTGCCTACTAAAGTCCACTGGAAACAGTGCATCTGTGAATTAAACTTTTTATTATAACAACTCTATTGAGAACCAGGAGAAAAAAGAACTGTAAAATATTCTTTGATCAAGTCATTCCATTTTTTAAAAAGCTCCCAAATTTTAAAAAAAGCTATAGATATTTTTGACACTATTACAGTGAAAAGCTAACAACGTGCAAATTCGCACCAACAGCAAATCGATTATATTACGGCAGAGCCGTCCCATGAAATGTTATGTAACTACAAGAAATTATTTTTAGAAAATCAATATGGAATGGTGAAAAATGAAAAGGCTAGAATCAAAAATTACAACTATAATTTTACTATCATTACAACCTATATAAAAACAGAAGGAAATTAACTAAAATCTAATAGGAGTTCATCTAAAACCTTCCCACCACACGATTTTTCCACTTCAGTCAAATCTGTAGCATTTACTAACTATAAACTTTAAATTTTACTACCTTCTCAAATACGGGAACATAGGAAGACAGGTGGGGTGTGATGATTTCGGCTTCCCAGTCTTCGTCTCCCATGGTGGATTTCAGTTCTGCTTTTGTGAAAACACAAGACACATTTGGCCTCGATTACACCAGAACCGTCACTCCAGAAGCATCAGTGATCATCACCTCACAGACACGAGAAACCTCTTAGCTAGGGGGGTTTTGGAAAAAAGGGGACTAAGTTTTGTTCCTTACGGGGAGGAGGCCACCCTTTTCATCTTTGAAAGTTGGTTCGACCACTTATGTAATGAATGACCTGGGCAACCCCTGTGACGTTCCAGAAGCTCACGCTGTGCACCCAAGGCTGGTCACCAGGTTTACCTCCTCCTGCGAAGGGGCCCCAAGCAACAGGGAGGGGACGTCTTCAGGTCCCTTAAAAAGTCGATATGGTGTGTTGGGCTTGGGATTCTGACAAGTTCCTTAGGGAAGCGGGGCCAGAGACCAACGAACGCCTTGGAATTGGCAGGCAAGGCGACAAGGGTCCCGAAGAAAGGCCAAGGCCCCAACAGAGGTCAAAGGGTTCCGAAGCAGCTTCGGTGCTGACCGCCCCGCCCCTCGGACGCCCTCCGACCGCACGGGTCCCCGCGGCCCTGGAACCCCGGGGCGGGAGATGCGGCCCACAGGCGTCCACCCGCTGCCTCACCTGCCCGCGCCACGGGCCCCTGCCGCCGCTCACCCCTTGCCTGCGACTTCGTCCCAGGTCCTCGCTGAAGACCCCTAAACGGTCGCACGCGCCGGACACCGAGCCAGCGTCCGCCGCGTGCTACAGCCAAAAATGGCTCCGACGGCACGTGCGGTCAACCAATCAGCGCCCGAATAGCGCGAGGCCCCGCCCACCCGCGCGGCCCACTGTTCCACCACCCCTGGGAGGTCCTGGACTGTGGCCGTTAGGCCCAAGGGGACAGGGCTGGCCTGTGGCCACTTGTCCCTCCAGCCTAGGGGAGCAGGGTCCTCGGTGTGCAGAGCTCCTGTATTTCCCTGTGCGAGCGCCACCTGACTCACACGCACCCCCACTTTCCTAACACCGAACGCAACAGGGGACAGGGCCTGAGACCAATCCTACCCTGTCGCGTGCCCAGTACTGCCCCCCTCCACCCCTGCCACAGTGCAGCGGTTGGCCCCTCGGGTGACGTCTGGGGCTCCTGCCTCTTGTCCTGGGACCCCAGGGTCTGGTGGCAGGGTGACACTGCCCGCCGATGTCCCAGGAGGCTGCGTCCTACCAAGCTGGGGCTCACGTCTTAGCAAAGGAGCGGCCCTCGGACGCAGACGAAGTTGTGCTGCGTGGGTGGCTCATCCAGGTTTGGACATGTGACCCCCCCCTGACCCCAGGGGCACAGGTCAAACCAGAGTGGCCGGGGGCCCTGCCGTGCCTCCCGCTCCCATCGGTCACGTCGTGTGTAGCTGACGTCCAGCAACTTTTGCCATCGTTCCAAGAAGCGTGGTGCTGGGGACACAGCTAATAGAGGAAGTCAGCAGAGCCGGGGTTCAGCACACTAGCAGGTTCGGGGACACAGTGCCTCTGGAACTCTTCCAGCGACAGTTACCAAAGGGGGTATGCATACCACTGATTTTAGCAATCCATGGACAATTTTCACTTTGATAGTTATTTTTAGTGCTTATACTGAATATTTAATATGTATGAGAAAACTATAGCCTGTTAAACCTGTGATTTCAGTAAATAATTGCTCCTTATGAAACTAAAATAAATATTGTTTTTTAAATTAATTAAATTAAAACTTCATCGTATTCATTGATCCAGGAATGGCAAAAACCGTGCAGGCAGTATTGAAAAGACTGCAGCGTGGTAGCCAAGGGGGTGGCGGGGAAAGACATGGGTCTGGTGACAGTGGCTGGGGCTGTTCTTGGTGGTTGGGTGGAGCCAGCCCCTCTGCACCTCTGCTGATCCCACGCTCCCTTGGCCCCTCCTGATCAGCACTTCTCAGCACCCCCACCCTGGGCATTCTGACCATGAGAAAGCAGGTCCAGTGGGCAAGACTTATTTGCTCCCCATTGAGAGTTAATACATTGAGGTTCTGGGTTAGAAATTAGTCTTGTTGGAATTTAACTGGTGTTCCCAGAGACCCTGCCTGTAGTCAGCCAGGCCTCCTAAATGACAACCATTCAGTGGTCCCTAAACATTCCTACAAGTCAGTTTACAGAAGAGCTAGAAATGAGTGCAGGGTAAAAAGTCGAATGCTGGGTTAGGGTTCCTAGGACAATCCTTTCCTCAGGGGAACTTTTTGGCCCTTTGCAGCCAAAGTGTTTGTTTCATCAGTGAATTCTGGAATGGGTTGAACAGTCACCAGGAAAGCATAGTATCCCGGGGTCTAGCCCTTTCCATCCCCACTAAATGTTAGCCATTCCCAAGAAAGATGGCTGGCTTTTCTGTACCAAATGGCAAAGGAAGAGGGATGTGTGCACGCCATCACCTTCAGTGAGGGTATGGAGAGAGGACTAACTCACCTGAGAAGCGGGGACCAGGCCCCATCAGTGAACAGCGATGAGTCTCTTTCCTCTGCACTCCCAAACAGGGAACGAGGAAGCGACCGCTAGCAGCTGGTAGGAAAGCTGGCATGGTAGTCTCTGGTTGTCCATTCATCAGCCATGTGAACTTGGGCAAGCTATTCCAGACAACAAAGGCCACCAGACACAGTTCTGGATGGTAGGCCCCGCTCCAGGCCAAAAGACATCACCTGTAGTGTTGTGGGGCAAAAATATGTTCCTTTGCTCTAGGTTGTCTGACTGCTCTAAGAGAGCTAAATTGACATAAGGCCGATTAACAGGAGAGAAATTGAACTTTGCACGTAAAAATAGGAGACTTAAAAAAGTGACCAAAGCAGGAAGTTTTTAAACCTTTTACATAGAGAAACCATAAACTGATGAAGAATTGACAAAACAAAGGGGTTCAGTCTTGAGTTGCTACAGTGGTGAAGAAGTAGCAACCTCTGTCCATACAGCCTTCTGAGCACTGAACTCCGTGTTGTGATCAGGATGCCTCTACCCGCTCGGTGTCGGGGGCAGCGTGGGGGCTACCGCTCACACTTGAGATTTGTCTCATGATTTCCGGGGGACAAAGGACGGTCAGTGTCCTTGCACTGACACTCGAGCACCTTTAATTCATACAGTATGCTGGGGTGGCATGTTCTCCTCCCCTTCGCCTTGCTGTGCAGCTTACAAAGGCAAGAGGATTATCTCACGGGCTGGGTGGGGCCAGCACAAGGAAATATTACTGGGAAACAGCCAGGTGCAGAGTCGTGCATCCAGTATACTAGCTTACATTTGCGAGTTATATTTTTCTAAATAGAAGGATAAACGAAAATGTCTAAAATGCCTCTCTAGGAGAAAGCAAAGAGAGAACACGCTGGGACAGGTAAGAATGTGGCTGGACTTCTCTGAGTGCGTGGATTTGATTGTGAACCCATGTGATTGTTATGCAAAATCCCAAAACAAAGTGAAATCAAAATCTAAAAAGCAATCTTAAAATGTAAAGCAAAAAAGAAACAAATACACATAAATAAATATGTATTGAATTAATGAATTAACCACACAGAGAAGAGTTATTTCAAAGGATTTACAATACAGTAATTTGACCATAGGTTCCTAGTGGGATATATCATAATGCAAAAGAACTACAAAAAATAAATGGATTGTATTGTTAACAATAAAATAGTACATAGTTAAGTTAATGCTTTTGTGAGCGAAAAGGGATTGAAATAGAGAATCAAAGAGGTCAAGAAATAACCCTATATTCCTAACTTTGCTTTGGAAATATCAATATTAACTAATAATAGATCTCCTCTACAAAATAATGAAAAGGGATTTCACAACTGTGCCCACTGAAGAAAGCCTAGAAGCAATGACCCACCCACCAGCAGTGGGCATGCTGCCACCCAGACTGGCGCCTCTAAACACCATTTGCCACTACAGGAAACCAGCATTCTTGCGGGGGAAACAGATACCATGCAGTCGGGGGCCAAAAATATACAGGACCAGCCTGAGACATCGGCTCATATAAAAAAAGCGAGAAAGCTCCCCAAAATGAGCAAAGCACAAAGGAACCAACTGAATGGGCTGCTCCTGGCCAATCGGAGACACTGTAAACATCAAAGTAAACCACAACACTAACGAATTATAATGCATTGAATAAAATAAGAACCCATGTAGCAGTGGAAATTGTAACAGTGGGGAATTGTCACCCACCCCACCACTCTTTTGGGGTTGTTTCTGGGAGCAAGGACCTACCAAACATCATGGCTAAGCCTGGCCTGCCTCACAGGAGTTCAGAACACCTACATTAACCCACAGGTGCGCAAACCCAGCTAACACGACGGATACCCTGTAGCGTATTGGTGGTCCACCCTTGTGGCCGTGCTGTGGCACAGGAGAGCATTGCACTCCGTGTCATTAGCCTGGAATAGATCAAAATTCAAAACTCAAAGTATAGTTTCCACTGAAAGTGCGTCACTTTCACACCAGTTCAAAGTCAAAAAGTTGTAACTCAAACCGTGGGAAGTCTGGACCGTTGACATTCCTTATGAGGCAGGGGAGAAAGAAGCTGGGAAGATTCCTGGGCGAGTGGAGTGGGGAAACTGGGACAAGAGTGGGAAACAAGGCCAAAGCGCTCCAGCAGCTCAGGGCCGGCTGGTGAACCGCAGGACCTCACCTCCCCGAGCAAGGGCACTGGAGAGCGGACGGCTGAGGCCTCTCCTCCCTGACCACAGAGCACTCAGCCTCCCTGGCCGTGAACCACAGGTGTCAGGAGGGGAGAGGGGTGCTGATGCGAACAAAGGGAGCAAGCTGGGGAAGGGGCTACACCTCCTGTCAGCCCCCCACCTCCTACACCCGAGAGAAACAGCAGGTCCGAGCTCCCCCAGGAATTCCCCTCCCAAATCCCACCTTTCTCTGATGTAAACTTGCCTCTGAGAGCTCAAGGGAAGGCGGGTGTCGGGGTTTGAACTCACCACCTTCTCAGACTGCCGGCCTCTGACAGTAATAAAAGCGCGATTGCAGCCCGGTCCCTGTCTCTGCTTTTCGGCTGAGTGGTGACCGGCAGCATGAGCCCTGGACTTGGTGGCCCTCCGGTTTCCATTGTACCACCGACCATGCATTCACCACGCCGTCTTTGGTCATTGAGGCAATGTCAAGTGTTGTTTGAGAGCACGGGCTTCGGAGTGGGACCTTGGTTTGAATTCCAGCTGACCTGCCTTTTATTAATAGTCGTTTGGCCTTGGGGAAAGTCACTTAAAGTCTCTAGGACTGTTTCCTCATCTGCAAAACAGGGATAAAAGACACTTCTAGAATCATGGTGAAGACTGAATGATGTATATAAAATGCTTGGCACTCGACACTAGCTGTTTCATTTGGACGTGTTGGCTTGAGTTCTTTACCAGGACACTGTCAGGTTTTTTTCTGGTTGTTTCGTTTAAAAAAAAAAAAAAAAAAAAAGACCATGGGCATCCTATGAAAGATGGGCGTGGGTAACTTTCCACATGCTCTTCAGAGGACTCACCCTGAGCTGACTTTTTATAACAAGCACGCTGATTTTACTTAGACTGTTAGTGTATTTGAGGCAGCTTTGTAGACATGCCTAGGGATGGGAGGAGGGTGCTGAAACCCTCTGGAACGCCTCTTTCAGCCTAGAGCAGAGATTTTTCAACCCGGATGCCAAAAAAATAATTCTTAAAACATGCAATACCGAGATATCGGCCAGGGGGCCCCGACTTTCCCCTTACATTGTCAAATAAAAAATGACAACAGCTATCACAACTACTGCCTGTTGGGTGTGAATGAATCAAAACTGTACCTATTTTTTCCTGTCAGATGGACATAAAATACATTTTTGGCGTGCTTGCAGAATTTTAGAAGTTTATGGGTGCCATGAGATGGAAAAGGTTGAACGCGTCCAGTGTAGAGATGAAGTTGGCCACGCATCCAGAAGGAGGAAAAGGACAGTGTCCAGAGGGGAGGAGCGCTGACCTAACAGTTTTCTCCAAACCAGCTTCCCTCCTGTGCAGAGTTCAAGCAGCACGTGCCAGAGCGCAGAACAACACCCGGAAGGCTTGGGCCACAGAGCCTGGGTGTCACGTGGCCTCCGGGCTGTAAGGACTGATGGTGCGGGCGTCCTTCCTTCCAAAACCCTCGGAGCCTCAGGGGCAGGAATGTGATCTCCGACAAAGGAGCATGTGCGCCGCAGTCGCTGGGAGCGAAGCGCACCGATACCGCGGTCCAATCCGGAACCGGGGGCGGGGGCTCCGCGCCGGGGGCGTGCTGCCGTCGCAGGGTCTTCTGGGAGTTGTAGTCCTCAGCGAGGCCCGGCGCTCTCCTAACTTGATTCCCCGACGGCCCCCGCGGCCAAGCTGTGGCCACTTCCTGCTCACGGGACGCGAAGCCGGGCTGCCCCGGGTTCCCAGGATCTGGGAAGGGTTCCCAACCTCCTGCCTCGCTCTGGAGGCTGAGGGCTTGGCCCGATCAGGTAGAGCATATTCCCCGGTCTTGCAACCCGCGCCCCGGGGGTGGGGCGGGCGCGGAGGGGAAGCGGCGGAAGAGCGGAGCGGGCGGAACCGCTGAGCCGGCTGGGGCGCCGGCTGTCACCGGGAAGTTCTGGTGACGCGCGTGGAACCTTGGCTTCTTGGGGGAACGATGAGGCCAGAGCCGGGCGGAGATCGCTGCGGAGGGGGGCGCTCGCAGCTCCCGGAGCGCGAGTGCGAGCAAGTCCGGGAGTGGGTATCCGCCAGAGGCTCAGAGAGGGCCAGGTTACCTTCGATGCACAGCTGGCCGAGGCCAGGGGCTGCAGGAGATCTGGGGGTGCGGGAGCAGGAGCATCCTTCTCTATCCCAGCAGAGCAGAGCCGCAGAGCCGGACGGGAGGAAGCTCCTTGGTGCCCGAGCTAGGGCTGCAGGTGGGGTGAGGCCAGACAAATACGTCCTCCCTAGGCTTGCCTGGGCTCGGCGGGGAGACCGAGTGTCCCCAAAGGTGGGCGGCTTGTCCTCTTCGCCTGAGAATACCGGCAGACCCCAGGGGTACTGTGGTCCTGAGTAAGACCACCGAAGTAAAGCGAGCCACATGACTGACTGACTTCTTTGGTTTCCTTGTGCACAGTCATGTTGACAGCATACTGTGGCCTACTGAGTATACGTTACGTCTAACAAATGGACGTATCCTCGCTGAAATTGTTAAAAATAAATTACTTTATTGCTAAAAATTGCTAACCATCCTCTGAGCCTTCAGTGGATGATGTCTTTTTGCCTCCACACTGACAGCTCTGGGTGGTGGTGGCTCAAGGTGGGGGTGGCTGTGGGGGGTTCTGAAAACAACAGACGGTTTCCACACGGATTGACTCCTTTCACAAAAAAATTCCTCTGTAGTGTGTGATGCTGTTTTGTTTTTTTTTAAGCATTTTACCCACAATAGAACTTCTCTGATCACTGGAGTCAGCCCTCTCAGACCCTGCTGCCTGTAAGTGTCTGAGTGTCTAAGTGTTACACTTCCTCAGCCAAGTGTAAGTGACATCCTAAGTCCTTCGTTGTCATCTCAACAGTCTTCACAGCGTCTTCACCAGGATTAGATTCCATCTCAAGAAACCACTGTCTCTGCTCCTCCACACGAAGCAGCTCCTCACCCATTAAGGCTTTGTTGTGAGACTGCAGCCAGTCGGTCCCGGCCTCAGGCCCCCCACTTTTGATTCCGGTTCTTTTGCCATCTCCACCACGTCCGCAGTTGCTTCTTCCAGTGAAGTCGTGAACCCCTCAGAGTCATTCCCGAGGGTTGGAATCACCTTCTTCCAAACTCCTGTTAGTGTTGATCTTTTCACCTCTTCCCAGGAATCAGAAATGTTGTTAGTGGCATGTGGGACGGTGAATTCTTTCTAGAAGGTTTCGATTTGCTTTGTCTGGATCCATCAGAGGAGTCACGATCTATGGCAGCTCTAGCCTTCCAAAACGTGTTTCTGCAATAGTAAGACTTAGAAGTTGGAATTGCGCCTTGACCCACGGGCTGCAGAATGGGCGCTGTGTTAGCATGAAAGTGATGCTGAACTGCTTGTCCATCTCCGTCAGAGCTCTCGGGCGACCAGGTGCCTCATCGATGAACAGTCATTCTGAAAGGCACCTTTCTTTCTGTGAGTAGGTCGCAAGAGTGGGCTTAAAACATTCAGTAAACCGTGTTGCAAACATTCAGCAACCGATGTGCTGTCAGCAGGCTTTGCTGTTCCATTCACAAAGTGCAGGCAGAGTCGACTGAGCATATTCTTCAGTGTCCGGGGATTTGTAGAATGGAAGATGGGTGCTGGCTCCATGAAGGTCGAAGTCGGCAGCTGTATTAGCACCTCACAGGAGTGTCCGCCTGTCTTTGGAAGCTTTCAGTCCAGGCACTGCTTCTCCCCTGTGGCTAGGAAGGCCCTAGAGGGCATCTTCCTCCAGTAAGAGGCTGTTGCATCTGCATAGAAAGTCAGTGGTTTAGTCGCTTTCCTGGATCATCTCAGCTAGATCTTCTGCCACGTCTGCATCAGCGCTGGCTGCTTCCCCTTGTGCTCTCGTGTTATGGAGACAGCTCATTTCCCTAAACCTCACGGACCCACCTCTGCCAGCCTCAAACCTTTCTCCTGCAGCTTCCTCACCTCTCTCGGCCTTTACAGAATTGAGGACGGTTAGGGCCTTGCTCTGGATTAGGCTTTGGCTTAAGGGAATACTGGGGCTGGTTTGGTCTTCTGTCCAGAGCAGCGAAACGTCCTCTGTGGCAGTAAATGCAGTAAGTAGAGAAGAGGACCACGACCAAGCCCTGGGAGTCTGCCATTTTAAGAAGTCTGGGACACAGGTGCAAGGAGTGAAAGAGATGGAGAAGGAGGAGGGACCAGAGAGGTGCAGCGACGACCTGGAGCCCTAGTGAATCTAGTCCATTAAGGAGGAGAGTGATCCATTGTGGCAGATGTTTCTGATCGGGCCAGTATGTTAAAGCTTGAGGGCCGACCCTGCCCAGGGCTTACCCTTCTGGAAGCCACTGGAGACCCAGCAGGAGCAGCCTCTGGGCAGTGATCAGCCCCTCGGCGGCCTGATCACTGGGCCTAGGAAAGGGTCTCGCCTATTCTATACATTTTGTTTTATGTCCGACCTCTTTTACATTTTCTTTTTCTCCTTTCTTGCCCCTTTCTAGGCCAATTAATTTTTACCATTCTCTTTTCCCCCTGCTGGGTTTTCAGTTATACGCTATTTTCTTTTATGGTGGTGGCTGCCTTTAAAATCGCAGCCACATGTTGCCGTCGTTCCGGACAACACGAGGACCTTTGGCACCTCAATTCCGAGGCCTGCACTTCACTGTTGTTCTTTTGGGTCTGGAATGTTAATTCCTTTTCCCCCTTTGTAATAAGCAATATAATGCTTATTAATTCTGCTTGGACTCATTACACTTCTTGAGTCTGCAGAGTATCGTTTATGAGTTCTAGAAATTTCTCAGCCATCATCTCCTCCAAATTGCCTCCACGGGCTGCTCTCCGGTTCTCCAATTTCGTGCACGCTAGCCCCTCTCACTGCGTCCCCCACGTCTCCCAGCCGCCGCCGCGCTCGCTGCCTTCCCCCCTCTCCGCCATTTCTGGGTAGTTTCTTCTGGTTTGGTCGTGCAGTTCCTTTGTTTTCCTGTCAACCGTTAAACCCACTTGTTGAGCTTTACATTTTGGCTCTGTACTTTTTAAAAATCTTGGCTGAAAAATTCCCTCTGGTCCTTTTCAAACACGCTAAGTTGCTTTGTGGAAGTGACCCCATTTTCTTTCTTTATTTAAACATAGGAAGCCTGTCGTTTTGTATTCTTACGGTCCCTGCAGTTCCAGTCCTCGTGGGTCACTTCCCGCTCTTGTTTCTTCCGGTTCTCACTAGGGGGCCTGTTTCCCCAGGTTACTTTTGACTGTGACTCCTGGTCCTTGAAAGATGGGTGGCTAGTCTTCTTTGGGCTGGGATGAAGCTGTGTCCTCACAGAGAAGGTTTACATGCCGCCGGTCACCTGGAAGCCTGCAGGGCCTGCACACACACTCAGAGCGCAGATCGCGGTGTGCACCACCCCCGCCGAGCGTGCGCAGGCCCCGCCCACTCATGCCCGTGCTCACTGTGCTCGTGGTCAGGGAAGCACGTGGGTGGGTCCTCACAAGGGAGGCAGTGTTTCTTCCCGTGAGCCCCTAGTGGGCTGCCGCAGCTGGACAAAGCTGTGTGTCCGCCCAGCCCCACTGTGGCAGGGACAGTGAGGGGTGACTTCCTACTGCAGTTGTGCCTCGCTCTGAGTGAGTCCAGACTTTGCCTCCAGTTTGCCTTCGAAGCGCAAGGCCTCGAGGACCTCAGCCCCCTCCCTCCCTGATCTGCAGACTCGCTCAGAGCAGGGGCCACCCCTGGGCTCCTGAACCCGTCCTGCAAACGGCCTGATTGTACTCGCCCGTTTTGAAACTTCCCAAAAATGTTTTTAATCTTTTACCCAGCATTTTGGGTAAAAATACTGGGTAAATAGCCAAATAGCCTGATTTGTCTTATTGCTGGAAGTGGATTGGTCCACTTACTTTTGTTAAGCTGAAAATAAGCAGTGACTTCGTCTCAATTTAGCAAGTTTCTGGTAAAAGGAGTGTTTGGGGCACGTGCTGCATTGAGATATCTTCAGCAAATTCTTGTGTTTTTCCAGTTTCTTAGGCATGCGAGTGTAGCATCTGGCAGGAGCAAAAACTTGAAGTTACCTGTCTGCTCCGATTCACACAGGCCCGCCGTCCGCAGCGCCCGGAGCCGGAGAAGAGGGCAGGCATGGAAAGCGACTCCAGGCGCCTCCTCAGCCCTGAGGCCGACCCCGAAGTCTCTCCCGGACCCATGAACATTCAGTTCGACTCACCGGACCTGAGATCCAAAAGGCAAGTTTCAAATAAAACACTTGTTTCGTAATTAGGGTTCTTCATTACTAACATAGAACTACTTTTAACCAAACATATTTAGCTTTAGTTATAAAATACCCAGTTTCTTATAGGATCTGTATGTTTGTTGTGGGAGGGGCTCAATAGGAATGCTGCGTCCTCATTTGTATTTGACCGTTTCGACTCAACTGAGCATCTCTGTCGGGGGCTGGTTAGTTTTATGAAGTCAGATGCATTTATATAATTCATTGAACAGATGTGTGCTGATTACCAGCTTCGGGCAAGGTAACAAGCTAGATGCTGAGGATGGAGCAGTGAGAGTAACACACAGTCCCGACCTGCACTGAGCTCACCTTCCGGCACAAAGCTTAAGATTTGAGTTAAAAATTTGTTTCATTGCATACTTGGAGAACCCCAAAGCATGCACTTCTGAAAATTGTTATAAATAGTAAGAAAATTCAGTAAGGTGGCTGTTTACAAAATAGGCAAAAATAAATAGCATCCTGATGGGAAAGCATAATGGGAGAACAGAGAAAATCCATAGGGGTAGCCTTGAGACTGTGCGAAATCTGTATGAGAGGAACTTTGAAATACCACTGAGGGGCCTAAAGGAAAATTAGAGTATGTCTTCACATCGAGATGCTGACTGTAAGTTGCACTGGACACAGATGGTACAAATACTGCTGTAAGGTAAACAGCTCCCAGCACGCCCGATGCAGTATTCTCTTAGGCTTAGTTTTGTTGTTAAGTTTTTTATTTACTGAGGAATTCTTGGACTGACTTGGTATTTTATTCTGTGTCATTTATCTTTCGTGCAATTATAAAAACGAAACTAGAAACAGTATATCAGTGGAGATATTACTACTATGATTCTTCTGAGTCACTTTCTGGAGTCATCAAACTCATACAAAATTGTCCTTTGTCTCCTTAAGAGCCCTGCTAATGTAGCATTTCTTGAAAGAACTTTCTTCCAAGTCACTGACACTTTCCGAGCGTCGATGCTTGCACTTCCCCAGTTTTACCAGAAGGTGTCACCGAGGGCTGCCTAACAGCACCATGGCTCCTCTTCTGCAAACAGTCTGCCAGTGTCCTGACACCTGACGGGAGCAGGGACGGGAGCAGGGACGGCATTTCTCTGCTGTGCCACCGGGAGCGGTCACCGGCTCACCGTGGTGAGAAGGTGTCCAGGGCTGTGAGATGCGTCCATCTCTGAGAGACGTCCCATGTGTGCACGGTGCTAGAATCAGTAACACGACCTGTGACAGAAAGGCCTGTTCAGCTCGCAGTGGGGCGACGAGAGTGAAATGCCCTGCTCTTTACATCGCGACCCATACATTTAATGTGACCCCCCCACACATGCCAGCAGCCAGTTCCAGAGTTTAGGTGGCCCAGTACTTTCTCTTCAAAGCATTAATTCCCAATGCCAGATAATATACATACAGGGTGTTCAATGCAGTGTTTTTAATAATAGCAAGAGGCTGGGAAAAATGTCTTTTCCTACAAGACTAGGTAAGTAAATTGTGGCATATTGATGCAGTGGAATATTCCCACCCGTTACACAGCAGGAAGTGGCTTTAACACACGCCAAAGTGGAACAAGGCTTCGCCTTCCCTTGTTAAGTGAGAAAGCAAAGGGCAGAGCCGACTGGGTAGAAAAGAGACCAACAAATTCCATGTGGCACCACGGGCAGCAGTGGCTCCGTGGCAGTGGCAGCCCCTCAGAGGGAGGGGGCAGGGGCGGGGGACCCTGCTGGGTAAATGCCCGCAGGCAGGCAGTAAACCCCATTCCTGGCGCACGGGGCCCGACTCTGTGGAGGGTTGCAGACGGCCCGCCTGGGGTGGGAGGACTGGGCAAGGCCGGTTCCGGGGACCCTGTTTCCGCGCCCCGGTCACAGTCACACGTTGCTGACTGACAGGGCCACCTGCTGAGAAACCCGTGGCTGGGTGTGCTCTTGGTGCAGGTGTGCCATGTGCCCGTACACGACCTTGGCCACCTAGCCCCCTGCCCCCCCCAGGCTGGACAGTCCAGCCCGTCACCCCCGGACCAGTCGCCTGTGCAGCATGTCACTCTGCACCACCGGGCGGCAGCCACCGGCTGTTGCTGGGTGCCAGGAATCATTCAGCTGCGTCATAATCTCTCGGGACCATCGTCATATCTTTGGTCGGTTGGTGACCCAAATGTGGTTGTATGGCGCTGACTGTGCCCAGTTTCTCAGTCTTCCGTGCAGCCGGGTGGCCATGTGGAGTTATCACGGGAGGAATTTGTCATCGTCATGTACGGTGGCCGTCAGAACAGCTAAGGAAACGAAGCTTGTCATTTTCACCTGTGCGTTCCCACATCGGTGACCACCAGCACTGTTGGAGGCCGCCGGGGGCTCAGGGTTTCTTCAGAACCTCTAAATTCTATGATAAATAATCGACCCCTGTGACAGCGGAACAGAGGTCAGCACAGGCATTCCACTGCGGGCAGCCGGGGGAGCTCAGACGGTGCTGTTTGTGGAACCGAGGAGATTGAGGGAGACACGTTTCCTGTAAAGAAACTCGAAATGAGCGGGAACCGGCTATTTCCAACCGCGGGGTGACGACCTGGGTAAGACGTTCTGAGGAAGGCAGGTATTTGAACGGACTTAGCGGTGCCGAGTGCTGGTTTGTCTGAGATAACCTGTGTTGAAAACAGAAACTATTGTTTGGGGAGGGAAAGAGGAGAACCTGAACGTTGTTGCTTCTGTTAAAATTTGAGTTGCTTAATTTACATATGTAAACGAAAGCCAGGCACACGTGGGAGAATTTGTCTTCCATTGGAAGGACCGGCTTAGAGGAAAACTTGGGTTACGTCGGGGACCCTGTGACTTTGGCGACACCCCTTAGCTGCCTGTAAAATACTACATCTTAATGTGCCTTTTAGTTCCGACTTTTAGAAATCAGGGGTAATGGAGCCTCATCGCCACGTCCCTGTGGGTCGGTCGGTGTCATGGTCGTGTGGCCTGTGCTTTGCTCTGACTCGTGCTGCCGTAAGCGCCGGGCAGGTGAACGCGCACTCGTCCCGGGTGGCCTAGGAGCGACTTCCGTACGACCACCCTGCAGAAGACCGACCTCCTGCAGTGGTTGGAGACGCTCCAGCACCGGCCCCTGCTGTGTGAAGTGAAGGTCCGACTGGCCGGGTCAGTGACGGCAGGGGGGCAGCATCCCATCGGGCCCTGGCCCTGACCCTGACCCTGACCCTGACCCTGACCCTGGCAGGAGCTCAGGGGAGGCCCGTGTGAAGCGTTGGACAGGGAACGAGGTGAGGAAGTGACGGTGTCGGAGCAGGGTGTTCTGCGCAGACGGTGACCTGGTGACCTTTCTCCAGGAGACATGGGGGCTCTACAGGCAGATGATGTCACCGTCCTGACCCGGTAGCTCTGGAGTGACTGGCTGCAGGCGGCTGTCCTGAGAGGCTGAAATTCAGCGATGGGCACCTTCATTTTGGGCGTGTTTGCTGGTTTTAATGGCGCCCAGAAAGCAGCATCCAGCGTTCCAGCTCTGGGGCCTGCAGCCTGGCGCCCGTTTGCCATCTCTGCCTCCAGGGTGGTCCGAACCGTCTGTCGCCCCCGGCAGAAGAAGAGGCTCTGCACATCTCGGTGGGACTGGGTTCTGGTTAGACTGTCACCGACGTCCCGGGAGGCCTGGGTAGAGCTGGTACCCAGTGTCGCTCACAGCCGATGCTGCTTCGGGAGTGGCCATGCCAGCCAGCCCGAAACCAGGCTCTGAAGCTGGCCTTTTCAGGTTTCTCTGATTCCACGCTTCTTCCGTTCTCCCCGGAGTCTTGGGCTTCTCCGTGCACCCGGCGCCCCTAGGACGGGAGTTCACGGGGGTCCCCTCCAGCCGTGCTCTGCAGGCCATCCTCCCACCCCTCCGCCCCACATCAGTCCCGGTGCTCATCTGCCCCCGGCTAGGGTTGCTGTGGCCACTCACCTGTCCATCCCTTCGTGGCTGTTTGTCTTTTAACGTGGAGAAGTACAGAAGTGTGCAAGTCGAACCTGAAGCTGAGCAGCGTCCGGCACCCCTCAGACACGCGGTGTGCACTGCGCCCCCCTCGTACCGGGGTCTCAGGTCCCTGCCCCCCGGTCTCAGAGTGGCTGCTGGCAGGCACATCTGTCCAGGGGCCCTCTGTCGGGGGGGGCCATCCGGGAACAGCAGTCGGCTCCTTCTGGTTCTGGGAGAGAGAGAGGAAGGGGGCCAGGAGAGTTTGTTGTTAGCGTGGCGGGGGCCCCCGGCCCCCGGGAGTGACTGGAAGTGCTTGCCGGGCGTTGAGGTTTCGTAAGTGGGACTCAGGGATCCAGAGCAGAGACGGGCAGGGCCCGCCTCCGGGAGGGCCAGCTCCAGAGCAGCCACGGTCTCATTTTGAGGACCTGGTTGTGCTCAGACAGAAGGGCTGAGGGCCTTGACCATGATTGGTGCTCTGGAGCTGCTGGCCAGCTGCGGGGGGGTCCGCCCCCTACACCTTCCCTCTCCTGCTGCTCCTCCCGCCCCTCCCGCTCTCTGCCCTCTCCTCCTCCTCAGTCCCCTTCTCTCACCTCTCCTCCCCCCACTTTCCACCCGTGTTTCCCCCTTTTTCTAAACACTTGAAGAACACAGCCCTGGCCCTGGACTCAGAGACGCTGTGAACCATGTGTGTGCATAACTCGCATCTGTGCCGCTGCGCCGGGGTGGGGTCTGACTTCTGGTCCCCTGGGGACCCCTGCGCTCTCTCCGAGTCCCAGGTCCTGGCGTGTTTTCCTTCTCGCTCTCTTCCCACGGGTCTCCTCTGCCTCCCCGCCCCCTCGGGCCTGGGTCTGCTGGCCTGCTGCTTGTGTTCTGTCCACTTCTGCTTGTGTCTATAGCCTTCAAGCTGGCTGGGCTTTATTTCCGTCCCTCCCTTCCTCCCTCTGAAGACAGGGACCCCAGTTGAACTTGACGGGCACTCCTCAGGGCCAAGTTGGAAGCCTGTTTGGTTGGGAGGAAGAGGTATGAGGAGTTGGT